GTGTGTGTGTGTGTGTGTGTGTGTGTGTGTGTGTGTGTGTGTGTGTGTGTGTGTGTGTGTGTGTGTGTGTGTGTGTGTGTGTGTAGTTGAGGAAAGGAGAGAGAAAGAGGGATACTCTCATTCTCCCGATGGTAACTTTTTTATTGGGGAATGTCGCTCCTCTTCCTTGGTGTTACCATTAGACGGCCGAATGTAGAACGGACTGGACAGTTGGGAGAGAAAATTGAGATGGAAGGGGAAGTGGTCAGCCTTAGTTTACCATCGCGTAGAATTCGCAGGAAGCTTGTGCCTCATAGGAAAGGGAATATCTTGCGGACTTGCAAAGATGATTATTTTAATGGGTAAAACACTTCAAGAATCATTCAAACGCGATTTTCCTAATGGCATTAACAACAGCGTACACTTCCGCGGCCGCCTTACACGTTCGACCCAACTTCTAGAGTCCAGTGGAGTCTCAGTAATCTCACTACCAGTGTCCAAAGGTTCATTACAGCTGAAATGTAGTTATTGAAACCGAATAACACAAAACGGGCAAAGGTGAACGGATTGGCAAAACCTCTGAGAAATATAATTTAGATCCCAATGAAAGACTTAAGAAAACTTCCTTATTCTCGATAAGATCTGTCTGTCGACAAATGAATTCCATCTTTGACAAAAAAATGATATCGGACATTGAAAAAAGTCCTCTGAAGCCAATTATATTCCATTGGTGGTGTTAATGGATTCGCTGTTCCAATTTTATACATTCTAAACACCAGGAAAACGTAATCTCATTGTCGATGATGCACACAGGTTCAACAGACTTGTATTTAAAAATCCAAATAGTTAGATATGTAATGGAGACTCACTTGATCTACGAGCTTCGATAGGTTCCCGAATGAATCGTTTTCTGGTTGAGGAGATCCGTCTATAACTTGGTCGAATGGATGGAGGTTGACCAATCTTTGCGGGGTGAAAACCACCTCCTATAAGAGTCAGTTATTGAGAACAAGTGGAAAAGTTGACACACTTGGGACACGTAGAATGGATCATTGTCAGCAATCAAAAGACGATATTCCAGCGATTCGCCTCTTTCAATCTTCTCTTGAACATATTCTTCGAGCTTGGTAATCCTAAAAACATTGTCCATCATAGGGAATGTGAACTTTAAATTACGATTTTTGGAATCCCCGGTATTCCGCGTCAATCCATTGCGTTCCCTCATTCTGAAAGTGCACTACGTCTCCCTGAAATGTGGCCAAAATCTCCAGTCCCACATCCCTGATTAGTTGTAGACGCAGCGCAGTCCTCTCCGCTTAACAAGGAAAAGAATGAAATGACATCAAAATTAATTTGATCAAGTATTAGTAATACTCTGAAGACAAATTTAGTGGGAACCGTTTCGAATTAATAACGGAAAGCACTTTTACTTTACCTTCATCTTTAAGAAGGTTGAGCCGGATCGCCTTTTCCACTTTGGGCTTCTCTGACTGTTCTGGTTCTTTGATCAATTCCGGTGTGGGTGCTTCGAGATAAAGAGGATTTTCAATGCTAGTTAAACCATACAATAGCTACCCTGCCATGCGCTAGTGTAAGCGACATCGACTGCAGCACATATTGGTGAGACAAGTAGTTTGGAGTGATCAAGATGCCCATAAAAAAGTGAAAATAAGAATTCAATCGTGTCCTGAGCAAGCGTGCTCACCCGTCTTCTTTACTTTTTTGACGGTCTTTGTAGAACGAGAACTCGTGGTATCTTGAGATTTTGGAAGTTCTTCCTTACAAGGAAGTGGGTCTCCATTGTCATCCACATACATTCCCAATTTCGTTTGTTCCTCCGTGAGCTACATACAACCAGGAAGAAGCTATAAGTTATTTTTTAGGCTAAAAAACCAAATTCGTATAAAGATGTGCGACTTTTGACATCTATGGCATTTGAGTCAAAATGAGACGCGGCAGAAAGGGATGTGCATTCCACATTTTTGGTAGAAACTGGAAACCTGATAGATTTACCGTTTGGACAAAGAAAGTCGTGGTTACATTCGGTTCTGCTTTCGTCTTTTGATTTATGAATGAACACCCTAATCAGGCAGAAGTATAGGGTAGGAGAAATAAAGTGATTCAATCAAAGGCAGAAAGTGGTAGCTGTTCTTTGAGGTGGTGACCTGTCAATCCTTGGAAAGCGAGTAAATAGGCAAAATGGCTTAATCAGGCTTTTCTGCTGGTGTTTCATGAGGGGAAACAAGGAAATAAAAGTGGTCCGCCTTTAGACCATCCACCTTGACCAGCACAGATTCGGCCTTAGTCGCTCATCTGACTGTCTCATTCATACCGCGAAACTCTCGAAGATTTACATCCGAAAAGATAACAGTGCGATTAGTTATTTAGTATTTAAGAAAAAGGCATCTACTGAACCAAGTTATTCTTCACTTAGGCTCAATACAAATCGAAAATGAGTTGTGACCACCTCCAAAATCCAACTGACAAACTTTTCAAATTACATTGCACACAAACACTTCAAAATGGCTCCCATATCGGCGCTGGTTAAAGGACGGAGCTCCTGTCCGTTGATAATCTACCCACAGCTTCGGAACAAAGGCTGTCAATGCTGCGGTTATGCTAGCCAGAAGGTAAAGAGCGAATCAGGGTCACAAGGCACGGAGGAAACCACCATCACACGGTAGTCCAGGAAAGCAAATGTTCCAGGCGACAGAACCATGTTTATTTCAATGTCTACGTAGGATCCGATTTGCACCTTAGTAGTAAGGCACTGCCACCACATTGGTCCTGTTAAAAACCCACCATTCCATCTACGCCTTTTGCATCGCTTCATAATTTATTCAAGGTGGGCTCGATTGATACAGACACCTGCACTGAAGTTAGGCTTGGAGAAGTCGGATGTTGTGAAGCAATACTGCTGACCAAGGACTGTATCATTCCCAGATTCACAGACCTACCAATATAGACGGTTGAAGGCAGCGGGACCCAAATAAATAACTTTGTGGTTAAGGAACTGCTACAGCAGCAAAATTCATTCCACATCTAGCGAGCACTCTGCTTGTATTCTTTGGCAACCTATGGTTTGTTAACTAACCAAGGTTGTGTGGGGAACAGATGCACGCTATTTATAAGGCATAAATTTGCCATGAAATGACTAGAATTATGAAAAACTTCCAATCCAAATAAAGTCTACGAAGGAAACTTCTGGCATTATTTGTCCACCGAATCTGAAATTTGAGAAGTGCCAGCCATAAAAAAAGTGCTAAATCAAGTTTATTTTTGAGAACATACTCTCAACTGGACCACTTTGAGCGCACAGGTAGCAATCTCATAAAGGAAGGCGAGTTCAGGCTCTTTCGGTTTCAATTGGCTCCCCAGCAAATACTGATTGGGTTGTGGGGGCGTAAGATCCTTTTTGCCCCTACTTCTCTGTGCCTTCTCTCCTGCTTTTTTCTTTTCAAGACTCTGCTTGACCTTCTTCACCTCTTTTGCTTTAGCGGTGGCATCTTCGTCTACAAGAAACGGCCCGCTTTTTAGTACAAAATAAACGTGTTCCCTATGCATTTATAACAAGAAGAAACGTACGTGTGAGAGGAAGCATCTCACAGGCGGTCAGCGTCGCACTGGTAACAAAAAGTAGTTGCGGACGATCTGTCTCATCGTCAGTTTTAAAGTCCTCCGTGGTGTATGTAATTGTCTGAACTTTGCTCTCGCTAAGTTCGTCTTTTGGTGGTTGACGCCGTTTTGCCTTCAAATCGGCGGTTTGGCTCAGACTCTGTTCCGTAGTAAATAACCCAGGAGGCTATTAACAGAGGCAGTTGAGATTTGCAACTTATTCGGAAATGCTCGGATAAAGGCAGTTTTCAGTGTCATGTATGTATTCCAAGATGATAGATATAAGGAATAATAATCCTTTTGTCACGATTATCCTCGTAACAATAAGTTCAGCTTTGGTCGTTACCTTAAATAAAAAATCCTAAGCTTTCCTTCTCAAACGAACGTAACCTACTTGCAAGCTCAAAAATCAACTCAATTAAAAGTAATCTGAGGTAAAAGCATAAAATCTGAAAATAGCATGGACATATTCAGCTAAAGGATGTTGCAATATCGTACTTTCAACATTGGAAGTCGGTAGTAGTTTTGATTCCTTTGATCCTCCAGTTTACCCTCATTGGTATCGTCAGTTGAGGGGAAAAACATTTCAACCACCCGGTTCCTATCTTGCCACCTATCCAACTCTATTTGAAGCAGCAAACAGTAGTTATTCATCAGGTTAGTTCTTTCATTTGCATGCCATTCATTGTGGCCAACGAAGTCTCTAAGGTGTGTCAAGTTGTCATCTCGCCGTTCCTCAGTCAATTCGCGAAGCTGAAAAACCAGCTCATGTAGGCGGAGATGACGTTCTGCTTTAGTCACATCATCCTCTAACAACTCCAAAGGCATCGCATTAAGCTCCTAAAATAAATGCTCTCTAGCATCATTTAAGTGGAACCTTCTGCCAACTATCCACAAGTGCTTGTCTGTTACTCGGTCGCCTCAGATATGTCAACAGCGTTCTTCTGCACTCACAAAGATGCTCCACAATATTTAGACGTTGATGGCGTAGTTTTGATAACACTTTCTGCAGCTGATCAACAAAGGTGGCACTTATGGCTTCTAAAATCTCACTGAATCGCTTAAGCATATCCTGAATGAAAGAAATTAGTTTGACGTTCAGCTTCCCCATATTTATATCACCTACCTGACTAATTTTTGAAGCACAATAGGTAATGAACAAATTCTCTTCATTATCAGCTTTGTAATCTACCAGGAATAAATAGCTAAGATTACTTATGGTAAAGTGGTTTACCAGTTCGACACTCCACTGTCTCCATCTGTTGCTCTAGTTTTCTTAACTAAACGAATGATAGACGATCAATGAAATGGATTATGGAAGAACTTGATTGATCACCTACCAATCACTCACCCCAACTAGGTGATCTTTGATCAACTGAGAAATTTGGGCATCAATGGACTCTCCAAAAGCGGACTTTACTTCATAAATTTGACATCCCTTTTCATGGAAAAAGCTGCGAATGCTTGACAGCGCATGATCCGAGTGGGAAAGTTCAAGGACGACTTCGTCATTATCCCAGTGCCCTTCAACTGCCTGCGAAATTATCTCTTCGTTTGGAACAGAAATAAACAATATAGCGTTAAAATGAAGAGTAGCATGCATCGCCTTTAAAATACCCAAATTAATAGGGCAGTCTTCCAAAAACCAGTTGACAGAAGGATCATAGTTACTAGCAAGAAATGATTAAGTAAGGAAAACCTTACCAAAGTTCTGCTTTAATGATGGCAGAAACAGACTGTTCCATGTTATTTTTTAACGGCCAGTTATGATATAAGTCCCTCAATCTTATTACCTCATAATCTTCTTAAATACTTTATTGGTTCTGATAATGAGTACCTTGTGAACTTGCAAACTTTGGGTTTTCACAATATGGCCGCCTTAAAATTGCTCCTCGAATCTGAAAATCAACCTTGTTTTTAACTTTGGATTTATTCTACATTGAAAAAAGAAACCTTTTTAGTGAGTTATTATCATATATTAAAACCATAACGAAAAGATTTTAAACAAATTGATTAACCTAAGTAAATGCATTTGGATTGTCAAATGATGCTAAAACTGGCCTTACCAAGAAGATTAAGGCAGTAAGAATTTTATCAAGCTCAGAGGTCGCTTTCATTCTTTCCCAAGGAGGTAAAATCACATGCTGTGAGGCGTTTTTTTTAGTCATAGAATTCCCACTAACACATTTAAAAGAAGTAGATTTCCATTCTCCTTTCAGGGCCTTGACAGTCGTGTACAGGAGCCAGCTTACTTTTATGTCTTCTATATCAAGTTCGTCTAAGCAGTCATTCCGAAGTCCAAGTGGCTGTTCGTTTACAAAAAGATACTTCAAACAGCGCACCATCCAAACTGAGTTTGGGCTAGCATGTTAGATAAGTCTCGGGTGGCGTTACTTATTAGTGAGACTCTTCAAGGCGTATAGCTTAGTAGCTAGGCTTAGAAGATCTGCGGTATCAATTTGATAAATATCACAGAAGAATGCGAGTTTTCCTTCATCCAAAAGCCGATTTTTTTCATTCACCAAGTTTTTTATCAGCTGCTGCTTTCTGTTTGCTTTTCGAAAATTTTCTGAGAGAATTCTTTTCTGAGAACTTTCAAAACTTGCTCCAGTGTTACTTTTTCTTGGTTGCTGGCTGCTTCCATTGCAGATTCTTTTTTACGCTGAACTTCTTTTTCTCTTGCATTACGATTTTTTATTATTATGTTTTTCTCACGGTAAAGCCTTAAAAGATTATTTTCGAATTCAATTTCCAGTTGACATTTCTTATGTAATTCTCGATCAAGAGAACAGAATACATCCTGATCCTAAAAAACAATGAGTAAGCGTAGAATTCTTGCATTTCTATTTATAAGCCTGCGATTTCCTTCTGTAAGGAGATTATCAACTATTTTTGCGAAGGATTCATCTTGACGCGAACGTGTAAGAGAGCGGTGTTCGGAAGACATTGGCGTCTTCATTGTGCTATTAAAAACAACGGGCATTTGCAGTAAATATCTGCTAAACTTTTGAATCTTAAAAAAACCACATCTAGCATTGTTCAAGAATATAAGGCGAAATCAGCTGCGCATGTCAAGCGAATATGAAACATTACTGCTAAATATTCAACTGATGCTGAATAAAAGCCTATTGGGCCCATTAATAGTTTGTTCTACAGCGACAAATGTTATTAAAGCAGGGGTTTTTGCAAAAACAATTGTGCACAATTAATGCTAATGGCAGTTTTAAAAAGTGGAAGCGTCGTTTGGAGCAGCTTCGACCTTCACTAGTAAATTAAAACAATGTCTCGTTGCGAAAGTCATGTCATCAACGTACATTTACGAATAATCATCACTCGCTATTTACCAATACAAATACCTTACTTCGAGACGTCCCCATTACTAAGCCCAAAATGACTTGATGGCCCATTGTCGTTACCTAGGGTACCCCACCACCCCACAGCCAGTGTGCACAGCCGACCCGCCACCCCGGCACCCTACACGGAAGCAACCCGCCCACTCACCCTCCCAGCGCAGGGAGTATCCAACACTGGAACCAAAATGTGCGCGACCACACCACAAAGGCTGGGTCAATGAAACGCTTAAAAGGATGTACGATTACAACACGAATAAAATACAAATAATTATATCGCCAATCCGCCTCGTTGGGCTTCCTATTCAGGTACATAATCCTCATCGCTGTCTGAATTGAAACGCTTCCGTTTGGCGCCCATCTTCCCCCTCGGCTTTACATTGCCGCCATCAACAGAATCGACACCTTTGTCGCTAACACTGTCCACTTCCACCACTTCATCCGAGTCACTGCCGAAGAAGTACTGCACCTTCCTCTGTGCGCTGCGCGCCGCCTTGGTTCGGGCTGGAGCGACTGGTGAGTCTACGAGCAGAAAAAAGAACGCAAAATACATTTATCATATTTATTTGCCACTTTTTCCCGGCATCCTAATGCTTTCAAAGATCTGCCTTAGCTCTTGACCTTGAAAGCAGAATAGTACTTGCTTTAACCTGAGTCTTTCCAATCATTCGTGGTTCGATTTACACTTTCTGGCCTTGCTGAGGTACGGTGGTAATAACAAAACTTCCAGACCTGAACGTTTCACAAAGAACACAACCCCAAAAAATGTCTGCCATGAATAGCTGGATCTTAAGAAATTCACAACAGAAATGCTATCAAAACCATGCCAACTTTTGGTAACCGTTCCTACCTGAGCTCTCCATAATGTCCAGCCACGGGATAGGTCCTGATTTGAATGAATCGGGACCATACAACTGCCTATGAGGAATAATCCAGGTGTAGGTGACTGACAAACATCACAGTGACGGTGGAAGGAAGGAGTGAATACAGAACATAGTTTTGTCCGGCTACTTTGCATTGTACATTTTATCAAATGACTTTGTCCTTAGACAAACACTTCTGAACAGCGATTGGCACATGCAGTAAGCACGGCGTGGAACATTGTCCAGCTTTCAGACGGAATGGGCACTGGGATTGAGGATCTTGCGGTAGTGGAAAACCTCAATGGTGATTTCGATTCATTCGGATACTATTTTGAGGGGAATGGAGAAATGGCCGTAAGGCGGACCGAGCAGGACATTCAAAATGAGGGATCTGTGTTCTAAACTGCACGTATTTACCTTAATTGTCTAAGGGGCCGTGCGATTTTCTTCGCTCTGCCACCACCTAAATTGTAGGTCTCATGGATCTTCTGTACGCTTAAATGAAGGCACCTTTGCACTATATAACGCACTCCAAAATAACTCCAACTCCACAAGATATTGCAGATCACGGATTCCCTCTGACCACCATGACACGCTAGGCGAAATATTTCATGGATAATGTAGCACAGAATTCAAGTCGCATGAATTAATTTGTGTTTTGTGGTCACCACCTTGAATCGACTAATACGAAGTGGCGCATTTTAGAGATTTGTTGGCCTTATGGTCGTCAATTGGGAACGATTGATAATATTAAGTGTTGAAGTGGATAAAAACTGGAGGAAAACTAGTAACAATGTGACGAACCAGGTATGAAAATTTCGTCAGCGTCATCGCTCTTGTTGTTGGCGCCACCAGGGGTATCAGAGTCTGTCTCCTCCATCAACCGCTTGACACCGGTGGACTTGGCCGCAGTGGTAAGCCTTGCACCCCCTCTCTGGCCACCACCACCACGAGCGTTGGCGCCTCTTCGACTGCTGCCGGCGCGCCCGCCTCTCGTAGAGGACGGCATCCTGGTGGCTACGGTGGCCGGCTCTTTGTAGGAGATTGGCCAGCTAAATAAGGCAGAAGAGCTTGAGCCCACACAAAGCTGATCTGAGGCAAAGGGCTTCCCCGACCCGTTAAATAGAGTTAAATCGATTCTATTACTTACCTATGGGTGCAATGTAAAGGACACAAATTCCACTGTTTGCCTATACTTTTCACTGACCTACGTAGAAGGCTAGAGCCATTGCTTAAAGCCGACCAACGCAAATATAATCACGAACGATGGGATTCCGTTTTCGTACCCTTTTTTCAGTCAAGGGAAAGCAAAGGCCGAGTACATCAACTCTGAACTGAAGACTGTGGAGCCATTGACCTTTAAAAAGGGACAAACTTGCTCTTAATCCCATAGCTTCGAACTGAACCTTAATTGAGATAATACAAAGGACACAAGGAAATAGATGAGAAAAAGATCCAAAGTTGCCCATTTGACGCCTGCAATCGGGTAATTTGACAGCTGATAGTTAAACAAATACACCGACACCTCATCAGCGTGTGCAAACAAACTGACGGATGAACCCAGCACTTCGAACACCTAAATTGCGCTCCCCTACAACACCAAAGAAAGAGGTAAATGGAGCGATAAATAGCCCTTAAAATGTCTCTAGAACGCCAACATATCCGAAGGAGAGGGTGACAAAGAACCCTCCGGAATGCTGACTACTCGACACGATTGGCTGCAAGAGTCGCCGGTGCTATCATGCAGTACACACCACGCTCTCAACCAGAAGGTAGTTTAAATCAAGGAAAGCCCACTGGTGGGTGTCGCATCCAGATGAGTCAACCACCAGCCCTATTCTAGACTTCAACAACGAACAAGACACAAAAGGCAAGAAGGGGTTAGGCCAATGCCACAAGATGCTGTGAATTCGTATAAGCGTCAAGATGACATCGAAAATTGGCCATTTATTAACCGCAAACCAATACGTAAAGTAGGAGCCCCAAAGGGATCAGAAGATAGCTTAGGAACTAGACGAAGCTTTTACACACCTATAAATCCCCATTTTACTCAGAAATGGAGTGAGCATCAATATTCACCTTTCATCAAGGTACGGACCAAACCTACAATGAGCAAAAGCCCCTCAAGATTGTGGAATGCCTTGACTCCATAACAAAAACTAGAAAAGAAAAAATGATACCAACTTACGCTGTTGTGCCGCTTTTCGACTTTCCGGTAGCATCAGTTTGTAGCTGTACGATAGTTGGCGAGGAAGGTTGTTTCACAGGGCTGCTGAGAACAATCGCCTTGTCACCCTGCCCATGGTCCACAGCCGTGAAAACTTCCTCTTCGCTACTCTTTACCCCATCCTCATCGCCCTCGGAATCGTCAAAGTTGTACTTTTTCGTAGTGGCAGCTGCAGTGCGACGCGGAGGCTGGTTGCGAACTCGCTCAGCCAGGGACATCACTGGTCCGTCTATAAAGTGGCACATACGCGCACGGAATTTGTCACCAATGTTTTTCCGATTCAAGAATGTGGTTTAACGAGCTGTGGGGGATGAATCAGCGCACAGATACTTAGGATTGCAATAAAAGGGGCAGAAGGCCTAGTTTAGGTTAGTCGCATGGAGCGTCAGCAGACATCTCAACAGGTTCGTTGCCAGGGCTTCAGGGGAGCCGGTTCCCACAGCTACCTAAGTGCCTCACCATTCTAACGGTGGCACAACTGCCATAAACTTTTTTGACTAAGTCCAATGTGCTCAAAAACTAAAGAGATGTGATTACCTTCATAGTGGGAACGGTTTCAACTCAATCCTTTCGTAACACAATTTGGGGCAACCAGTTACCATCAGATAAACAATGACCTCATGTCATGTCTACGTGATACTGACAGCGAACGCGTCAAACCAGAAAGGTGGTTCAACAATTCTAAAAAAGATTAACGTAAAGGAGGAAGACAGAACAATATTCCGGATGGGATTGGTTCACGCTCTGTACGTGTGGTAAATGAGAGCATGAAAGAGCCGCCAAAGGCACCTCCACGTTGAAAAGACTAAATTGGCAACACACCATACAATTAGTTAAATGAAGGAGGTTATGCAGAAGACAGTAATTCCATGCACACGTACACTTTCTTCACTGCTTTATCCGTCTTAATAAATAGAAAAAAATTCCTGAATGCTCCGCTAAAGATGATTGAAACCATTCGGATTCGATAAAGCCTAGGTAGATGCATACTGCACACCACAACTTGCTTTGATATCTAGCAGACGTTTGAGTAGGCCTAGAATGATTAATTCACGCGCCGAAAGCCACACGGTAGGCCTCGGTCTTCTTACTCGATGGAATGGGACGCTTAATTTGAGAAAGTGTCAACTGGAAGATGTAAAACTTAGCATTCCCAAGTGGGAGTGTAACTGCGAGTGCGTATTGAAAACTGATTTACAAACTTAACAGGTCCACTATGTGATGACCGGTCGCACCAAATAGCGTTGAAAACTGATTGGTTAAGTTTAAGGTAATGAAAGGAATATGGGATGGTCTTGGTATGAGGATAATTACATCCTTTTTAGTTTCTGAATAACGGTGATGGATGATGATGATGATGGTGGTGGTAGTAGTAGTTGTAGTAGTAGTGGTGGTGGTGGTGTCTAGACTACTGTTAGTTTTTCCCTGACAGAAACCGATTGGCTGTGACAGAACTGCAATAGAACAAGTGGATTTGATTAACACAATTTTAGCAAAAACGGAGTCAGAAATGCACAAAAATAGGTTTGGCGAAAAAAAAGTCAAGGTGCACTTCAGTGCTCGTGGAAAGGAGTTGTCATGGCAGGAAGGCAGAGCAACGTATCCATTGGGAGCAGAGTGCTAAACGAGCGAAAACCACGATCTACGAGTAGTAAATTGATAATATAATGGCAAAACACTAGCAGCGTCTCTGTGAAGTAAATAAAAAAGCTCGGGACAGCAATGACTTTAGGAAGTACTGGTGATACAATAGCCTCAAAAAAGTGGAATGCATTGGGAACAGTTGGGAATGAATTGCGCGCATATTTCGGCAGACACTACTTTTATTCTCTCCCTGAGGTAATAATTACTTTTGCTGGCTGAAAGAAACGGATGCACAACTTCACGACAACGCACAACGAGGACGAATGATGAGCAAGGTAAGGGAAAGCTTTATTGTCCACAAAACGCAAGGTATGCTACTACGTTCAAATGAAAAAGGAAACCGAAGTGCCGGAAATGAATGGCTTTCGCAAAGACACCACCATTCTAGTTGAGAAATGTGGATCCACGCCTTAATACACATCGAGGGAGGAATCTTCTCTAATTTCCACAGTGCGACGTTCGTCAAAAATCCAGATAAATGACAAAAGCTTTAATTAGAAACGCTGTCTAGCCGTTTTAAAGCCCAACATACAGGAGTTTGCAGGAAGAGGCAACATGATAGATGCATACCGAGATGGAAGAAATACATGAGATAAATTCCAATATTCAGAAACTGATTAGGGAAGGAAAATAAAAGCGAAAGTAGAAAACGAATGAGTGATGCATGTCGTGGTGGAAAAAGGCAGTGAATATTGAATTAAAATAGACCAAGTCCCCTCTCGTCCATTAAAAGCCGATTTAAGAGAAACCAACATACCACCACTGCCTCCCTTGAATGGCGCAAACTCGGAGACGTCCGAGGCATCATCACTGACGTTGTCAGCATCGCTTTCATCCTCGCTGCTGTCGAAGGTAAGTTTCTTTTGACGAACTTTCCTCGCCGACGATCGCTTCACGCCTGGCACATCACAGGGACACAAAAAACAAAGTACATTTCCATTTTCCAGACCCGCTTTTATAGGAACAAAACAGATACTAAAGCGTATGATAGTATTTGGCTCAACTGTAAAAATAATTACTTGAGTCTTTCCAGTGTATGAAGATTCAATCAGCACGCTGGCAGGATGGATCTCTACCAAAACTTCTGATCTCCCGGCTCTTCTCCAAGTCCACTAAAGAACTTTTTTGAATTTTTAACCTCAAACTCGAAGATACGAAGACTCTTCATATTGCAGAAAATTGCAACATGCTAGCAAAACGCAAAATGGTAACGCAGCGAAAACGGATGAGCGAACACAGGACGTTACATTGCATCAGATACAAAACAGAAAACTTTTCCCATGCAAGGGGATCACATGCGAAATGTGCCCTCTGTAGAATATCACAGAGCCCTCAGTGACACGTCTCTGTAATGTTATTTGCGAACCGGACACGATGGACGGAGACCCATCGAACGGACAGGATACACAGCTCTAGTTGGATGGGGGAGCTTATTCGCTTTAATGAAAAATCACCGCACACTCTTCATCACACTTTTTGCAACCTTAAAAATCTTGCAATGGAAGAGATTGAACACCTCTATCTACTCCAAAAATGTTGTAGGTAGATTATAAATAGCCAAATCTGATGACGCTAGTGAAGAATGGTGTCCTAGAGGGCTGCGTTAGCCGCTAAGCAACCTTCCCCGCCCAAATCAACTTTTAAAATGCAAGTCCTATGTCTGAAATCACTCAGGAGGATAGAGAGATGACTGACCAGCGGAAGCCCCTTTGCCACGTCCACGCCCTCCTCCACGACTACCAGCACCACTACCACGTTTCGATAGTGGAGCTGAGGCGAGAGTATTGAGCGCAGTATTACCGTCCTCCGAATCTACCGTCCCACTAAGTCGTTTGAATAGCGGCTGAGGTGCATTCCCACCAAACTGACTGTCCTCGTCGTCCATGTCCGCAAGAAAGTCGTCTGCAAGGCGAGGAAAGGTAAATTTAATCTCAAAAAAGGAGGAGAGAGAGAAAAACTTGGTGTACCATCTGCTGCCTTTCCACTGCCAGCAGCCGCCGCCTTCCTTTTGGCCTCACGACAGACCTGAGCCTCAGCCTTCCTGGCCAATTCGGGATCGACGACGGGCTCGACACGTCGACCCAAGGGGTCGGGTCGCGTCTGACGCATGCCCTTAGTCAGAGCTGCGGCTGCGCCCTTGGCTGCAGCACTGCGACCGCCCTTCAACTGCGATGACGCCTGTTTGGCTACCTTTTTCTCTGCGGCATTAATCAGGTCCTCCAAATCCTTTTGACGCTCCGTCTCGTATTTCTGTGAAGGGGATAAACGAAAACCCATAAGTTCAGGATGGTTTTTCACCTTTCCTTAGCAATAAACCACCTGGATGTAACAGGGAGATTACGTGACGGTGTAAAACCAGCGGAGACTCGATGTTAAAAGACGGCCCCTCGCATGCAGCAGCTAGTTGAAAAAGATTGAGGTAGAGACACAAAAAGGAAGGTGTGGTTATTTGAATTCTTCTTGGGCTTCAGCTTGATTTGAGCAGATGCGATGGAGCGAGATTGCATATGACGATTTAAAACAGACATCCACAAATGCTAGGAGGTAAGATCTGTTGAAAACGCAATGGTTAAATGCAGAGTTAATCGACTGATGTACACTTTCGCCAATGTGTTGAGTCTCCAAAAAGAGCTGTACACGGTGACATTAACCGCAGTAAACTATAGAAATACAGTATAGGGGTGTAAAGGCACGGCACAACTCATTTCTCAATAATTACCAACTGTCACATTATTTGTTTCAAATTTGGGGTAGTAATTGACTGAATTCTCACTATTGTAAAAATTGAGATAAACATGATCTTTTTAAAGGCTATATGGAAGATTTAATTCTTGAAAAGTTATCCAACCGAATATTTTCAAGTGATATCAGCAACGGAAAATATTCACTTAACCGATTTTGTACCTTTATGAAGGTACACAACCTTCCTCACAGTGAATCTACCAGTCAATTTTGGGTAGTAAATTTAGGGATTAGTTAAGGTATCACTCCAATGATAATCCCCATGTGTGAATTAAATTTACAGGAAAATTATCATCTTTTAAATCTGCGTAAGTAGGCCTTTTGCATACACAGACAGAGAAAAACGCTCCCTTAATCGCGCAGCAAAGTGAAGGCGTGGATTTTCGGTTTAAGAGATCCAATTTCTCGGTGAGTATATGGCCGTGTCTTCCAGCCAGACACATAAGCCGATTCGGGCCAAAGCACTTTTATTGGGTTACCTCCTATCTTTCCAAGATTCTTATTAACACAGCCTCTTTTTAAGCAAGATAGTAAAGCTAGTCATTGTAGTAAAAGCTTAGGACGGAAGTGCATTAACTAAGACGAAAAGCAATAAGATTGGACGTAAGCTGTCGTCACGATTTTCCACCAAAAAATATTAGTATGCAAGGTTCCAAATGCTTCAGCACTTTATGTCCCGATTAAAAACGTGAAAGCTGGTAAAGAAGTAGCAATTGGTCACATAAATGTATATTTCTGTCCATTTAGTTGCTTTGCCATTTTCCGTGAAGGTCATGACCCTAAATATGACTGCGAAACGAACGTATAAATTTAACTGGATAGTATTTTGTCAGACGTTGCGTAATTTAGACAGATGTACCGAAGCACATCATTTATGCCATGATGAGATTATCAACAATGCATTAATAAACTGGGAAGTTATAAAGTAGCCGTTCCAAACGCCCATCTCAACTGCGGGTATAAGCAAGGAAAGTTAAGCCATTTAACAGACTAATGCTTGTTTTAGGTAAACAGTTAACCGTGAGTGCTGTCCGGCCCAAACGATTCCGGTTCCCTTCTTGACGCTGTCTATGCTCGTTGCAACTAAACATTGAAGACAAACCCTCCTTCGTGTCGATATGCCTTGCAGCACTTTCAGAGAGCACGGGGGCTTAAGTATATTCATAAGAACGGAGTATTCATGCACAGGAACGCTAAAAACAAATGCTGAACGTGCTAACACGAATCGAGATAACCCCAAGTTCAATAACATTTCAAATTAGGGGATAAGCACCTGACATTTGGGCGCAAGCGTTAAGCTTGAAGGAAATTCGCATCACAAAGGTGGAAAAAGCCTAAGCAGTAAAGAAATATAACTTGTGTTCCTTTAGAGTACCGACATTGTAGAAGTGAAAATCCGTTTTAAAGAAAAAGATAACAATAAACTCTGTCTACAGGCGATATCGGAAACTGATAAAACTTTTAGAAATAAACTTCTTAAGCCCGAGAAGTGTTTGCAACAGAAACACACAATTTACTTAATATCATAGCTCCCCTGCAATACCTGCTCATTAAAATGGTTGACCAAATAATGATAAACTAGAAGGATTACTTAAACCGGTTCGTCGAGGTGGATGCGATATTTTAGAATACTACGAAAGCAAATCGGTTTGTTTGGTCAGATTTTCGCGCCCCGAAACTAAGAAGAACATGCTTAAGCGGTCAGTATTCAAGGTGCCAGTTCGAGGCCACAGTCACGAGAAGAGGCTAATACTCTTGGTACGAACAGAGAAGGAAATCAGAAAGAAATTGTGGCCTTTAAGATACACAAAGACCGATGGATTTGCAGTGAGACAAAAGTACTCGAAAACACCAGACATCAAAGCAGATTCATAGGGAAAAAATTCAACTATCCTCACTTTAAAAGCCACAAGACTCACTTTGATAGCAGCCTCTAGTTCATCCAAATCCTCCCTCCATAAGTCCTTATTCGTCCTTCTCATAAGAATAGCCAGCTCCGCCTGCTTTTTATCTCTCTGTGCCAGCAGGTCTTCCTTTCGCTCCTTCGACAGACTCCACAGGGGCATTCCGAGGATGTAGTTGTAGTCGGCGGCCCCGCGAGCTACGTCTTCGTCTACCGTAACACCACTACCGTCGCCACCCTCTGCCTCATCCACTGGCTCGCCTGCCTGTCTACGCGCCGCCGTGGCTTCCTCGATGGCGGCCAGTTTGTCAATGCACTCCTTCCACGCACGCACCGGGTCGGGATCGTAGCGGCGCCCGCGCAGCAGACGCACCAAATCCCGCTTCGAACGATTCTCAATGGTAACGACACCGCCGATCTTCTCCATCACGAAACGTGCCTGGTTCTCCAGACGTCGCGCCTCTGCTGACAGCATACCCTCCATATAGGCCTTGCGCTTGTCATACCTGCAGGTTGCGATAGTGGTGGCTTTATGTAGCAGGCCAGGGTGGGACTATACTGCGGGTTTAATGATCATGGATTGACAGAGGTTGGACTTGTGCGCGTGGGAAGGTACAGTGAATAGGCTGAGGTTAGCATCGGGCGTACCCTGCGTGCCTTGGTAGAGCGATAACGTTGATGATTATGGCAGCATTGACAAAGGATGTCAGTGATGAGATTCGTGAGGAGATATGACTGAATGTGGAACTATAATGCTGCGAGCGAATTAGCGACTCGGAAGTCAAGGTTAGAGAAGGGACAACAAAACTTGCTAGCATCGTTGGATTTACATCAATTATATAAATGCTCGAAATGACCGCAGTGCATTCCGGATTAACAAGTGTGCATGAATGACGAGATGAGTACTGAAAACCGAGAATCAACCTGAGTTGAATGTAATTTGGCAGGATGAAACGAGGCGAACTGATGTCTGCGGACAAAAGCCGCAGAACAGATTTGTGCTAATGCCGTGTCGAGTATCTTAGTTAAAATCTCAAGTGGTACCTCCAACGCCAACGCCATGAAATTAATCTCCAAAATTGTCTGCAGAATTCTTCACAACAGGACGGAATGGAGCCGTTTCGTGAGCAAATTCAGAAAGGAAACAAACCCACAACAGTCAAGCCTGCTCTGGATAATGAAGAATTAAATAAGACCATGATAGAGCGCTGAGAAGTCGAGTCGAAAACGCCTTGAGAAAATAGCATTTCTGCTATTAATAACCGCATTCATAAATGCTGCTTAAAAAGAAATTCAACACCAGTCTGCATAAAATTAACTGTAGTTACCGGATTGTAATTGCAAACGGCCTTTCGGGCCTTCTAAGCAAGTAGTCAAACTAAAAACGAGTCGATTCGAGTCGCTCCAAGCTACTTTAGAAAGGAGAATAGAGTCGAGCCCAGTTTAAGACAGAGGTCTATTCGAATACGGCAAAATATCCATGAAAGCATAGTGTTTACTTGTGTGGATTTGCATCACGAAAGGAACAATGTGAGCTAAGGCCGAGGCAGAAAAAAGATTTCCACAGCGTTTGTTTCATTCATACTACCTTGGGACAAGCTAAGGCTACTATAGATGAGCACGATAAAAGACGATGAGGTTTAATGTGCATTGGGGTCACAAATACATTCTGTGGGCAAATTCAATTAGGGTTTCAAAAGTGTACAAAGGTGCGAAATTAACTCTCACAAGGTAAGCCAACGTTGAGCGTAGATGCGGATAGCTAAGAAGCATTAAACCATGGTCGCCTAATGGCGGGAGTTGATACAACTCACAAAAATTGCAAGAGTAAAAATACGCAAATATTTAGTCACCAAATGCCACCCAACTATGTTAATAACGCTTTTCGGGAATATGACAAGAAAGCACAATTTTACTCTGTCAGCGTGGAAGTTACTTTATCAACGAAGGAACCTAAATCACAAAATGCAAAAAAAAGCTATCACAGAGCTGAACCAAATCATCACAAAGTTAACCCGGTAGGTAACAAAGCGCAAATATTGTGCAAGTTGTAGCCCAAATGTTGAACGACGTATTGCAAAAGGCAGATTCCAAAAATAGTGCACCACAGAGTTGCAGTATACTAGCACAACCAAGTGTTATGCCAGGTTGATTGCAAATTCAATGGAAGAAATGAAGTGAAAATGAGATTTACATCTTAAAACAGCAACGCTGGATACAACACAATGGAATGGTCACGGATTGTCGTGAAGATGTTTCATATGTACGAAAGGGCTCGATCAAATCGACTGGCCTTACTTACGATCTATTCAAGGCGCATTTAATCAAAAAGCAATTGCACGTGACCCTCCTAGGGGAGGTTCCAGCGCTAAAGTGCTAATCAAACTCAGCCAATATTCTACTCGACACCACTTCGTTGGTATCACATTTTGATAAAATCGACAGAGAATGGATGCGAAACATGACGGATCTCCAAATAAATAAATGAATTTGGACAACAGTTTGACGCACATCGTTTCATCAAATAAAACAGATCACGACTAGTTCGAGGTAATCGCCTAGAGATTGAACAACCAGACAATCCTATTCAGAATGGATTTTATGAAAAAGCTAATCTGATTCGTTAAGAAGGAACAAATAAAGCCCCGATCATTTCAATCACTGGACGCGATGTACCAGCTAATTCAAGTTGCAATCTATTTCTACTCAACCGCATATCGATTGAACGATCGCCGAGGTTAGTGTTTGTAGTTAGTGCTTGGAATGATAACAAAGCCCACTAGAAAGAAGTTCCAAGGTAGATGCACCAACACTACGACACAGACAAGATCAGAAATAAAGCAGCAGTAGAAAACAGGCTTACCATTCCAACCGCAGGGTATAGAAACTACGAAGGATCTCCTGCGCCGATGTGTAGCGCTTCAGGCATCCAGTGTGGTCAAAGAGCACCATAGAGTTGGTTGTCATGGGAATAGCAAGTCTGAAGAACTTGTGTAGACCCATGCTCTCTGCCTCGCGCAGCTTCTCCTGTGTCATCTGTACCACAAAGCGCACTGTCACATCGGTGTGGTACTCTTTGTAGTCACTATCGAGGGGTAGATAGAAAGTGAGCTCATTCAGTAACATCATTCACCATTTGCTGGAAATGGGCAAGATGAATCCTTGAAGCATTATGAGTTGCAGCTTTGTGAAGCTATTTCAGGAAATTGATAGCAGTGAGCAGATATTTTCCACAAAGTGCTAGACGAAACGATGAGGGGGAGGGGTTGCGACAGTCAAAAGAGGAAAGTGTGCGAATACAGGAGATAAGCGTACGTTTTAATAACGGTACAAGACAAATGAGTGGCGCATTAGTTTGGACTAAAATTAAAGGGCTGGAACAACATGCATGTGGTCTCCACAGATTAGACGAAAAACAGACATGATTTAGGATAAAATGCATTCTTCCGACAATAACACTCAGATGAGCTTGTTGATTCCAACATTTCGCAAAACTAGATGGTAAAAAATCAATAGAAAACACCCTACTTAACTGTTTAGGAAAATGAAAGTTTACTATAGGCATAAAGTTGCCAGACATGCCTGATGCTAACCGGCACCTTCTCAGTTCCATTGAGCATAGGTTCAAGCACTGTCTCCTTGTAACACTGCGTCCAAGTCTTAGCCGGCAACTCCGTAATCTCCACCGTCTGATCATCTAGCACCGCAATCTCCCCGAAGAGGACATATCGGTTTTCTCCCACCTCCACAATCTTTCCCCGATAACCCCGATAACTCGGCAGCATCGGCAGCGGTTCGACCCCATCTAACATGCGCCGAAGGTTGGCGATCACCTCGTTAGTGTCGTAATTGGGGACCTTAGTGCTCCATCCTGTGCCAATACCCTCGGCTCCATTGATGAGGACCATGGGGATGACTGGCATATACCACGCGGGCTCAATCTTCTGATTATCCTCAAATAAGTAGTTTAAAATGGGATCGTCATTCTCGTGAAAGATCTTGCGAGTTAGAGGACTGAGAGCGGTGAAGATATAACGGGCAGAAGCGGAGTCTTTGCCGCCGGAGAGACGCGTACCGAACTGACCATAGGGCATCAGCAGATTGAGGTTGTTGGAACCTACAAAGTCCTGGGCTAGACCGATGATAGTGCCCATGAGAGACACCTCGCCGTGGTGGTAGGAGGACATCTCTGCCACGGCACCGCACAACTGAGCCACCTTAATCTCCTTCACTTGATTGCGCTTCAGACAGGTGAACATAACCTGAAAAACATACATGCAGGCTCACAAAAGGGGCCACGTTTACATCTTGGGTGGTTGAGCCACCTAAAATTCTCGTCATAGTCAGATTAAAGAAGGGGATACGTAGTGAAAGATTGACCTGTTTCTGCTAGACACCCTAGAGAGGCATAAATTACTCTCAAAGATTTTATTCTTGTAGGTTCGTCTATGGAATGTTTTTAAAATTGGTTGAACAACAAAATCATCCCGGACTCTCATATTTATCGGTCAATTATGCAACCGAAGCTTATCATACTTTTTATTCAAAATTCATAATTTTGGCAATGTATTCCACGATTAACTTTAAGCCATAGACCTCCCGCTAAAATAACATAATAATAATATAATATAATAATCGTGATCCAATACTCAATCTCAATTTATTAGTTTTAGGTAAAGAGATAAGATGATTTGGCGCAGCTAGTAACTACACAATTTACTTTAGCCTGAATCTTATTCTCTTTCCTACAAGCGTTAAAATGTGACCATGCTAAATCGGTCAGCAGCACAGAAATTATGCGTAGTGGCGCTTTAAGGCACTGAAAGGAATAGATATGCGTGTAAAACGCCTCAAATGAAAGGAAGATGAAACCTGACTTTTTATTATGTGTTCAGTCACCGTACAAACAGTAAGGTAACCTACCTACTCTCATTGCCTGTCTGCAAAAAGTCCTCCCTCTTAGCACAAACTACTCATTTCAACTCCTCTAAGCCTACAGTCCTGACAACTTTCTCAGACATCCATTGAGAAGGAAGAATAAGGTAGGGTAACTATGGTAAAAAAAGACACCTTTCTCTGACCAGGCTTCAAACCATCCACCAGAGAAGGGATGGAGCGCTCATTATCCATGTTGGAGAAGAGGACGAGCTCCTTGTGAATGAAGTCGTGGTAGGTGATGGCATGGGTGCCCACACCATAGAGGTAGTCCTCGGGTAGACCCAGCTCCGTACGTCGTCGTTTCTCTTCCATCCACGCGGTGAGCCATTGCTTACGCTCATTGATTTTGTTTTTATTGAAGGCCAACATGATGCCACTGTCGTCCTCGGGCCCCGAATAGCGGAAACGGATACGATGGCGCGTCATGTCCGAGAAGTACTCCTTTGCCTCCTTGCTCGTCGAGGTACCCAAACCTGAAGAAGCAAGCAAAACATCAACTGTACTATTATTTATTAAGGATTCAGGCATTTGTCTAATAAATTAGACGAAATATCAAAGGGTTGGCATTCGACCAGAAGTTTTTGTAAAACTAAAAAGGCACGAGCAGATGTTCCATAGACGAATTGCTGACCTTACATACGGGCATGGTTGTTTGGAAGAATGAGTGGTTGTACATATGGAAAACTGATGGATAGATGTATAAATACATTTGTGAGTCGGCGGAGACGATTAATGTTAGGGAAAGAATAGGCGGCTGCGCGGGTGACCACGTTGACTAATCGGTGGTGAATGAACAGATAAAGTACAAGGGAATAAAGCAGAGTTTCAGTAACCACTGCATGGTACAATCACCACCCATGTTAGAACGAGGCCTACTTTATCCATTCCAAGTTTATCAAAAAGCGGGGCGGCACAACTGCAACAAATAAAAGGGTGCGATTTCCAACTTGAGAACAAAGTTCCAGTCAGGCACATGAATCCAATCAACTATTCAAGGCCTATGCCTAGACTACTTTAAGCCTTATACAAGCGTCGAAATCCCCATCACAAAGTTTTCGCAGTGTGGCAGAAATTGGTGAGAGACCATTAAGAAATGAGCTAAATCCCTACGTTGAAAAATCACCAGAACGTTTCCGAAATAACGCCACCCTAGGCGCACTAAGTATCTGCCTGCAGGCTTCCGAGCCTAGCGAATGCAACTCTTACATGGTGACGGGGAACAAAAAACATGCCTTAGTAGCACCTTATCAAAAAATCGTCCTCCCCTACCTTTATAGTACTTCACACGCCACGTATGCCAATTGAGTGTTGACTTTTGCCACTCCTCAAATTCGGGAATACTATAAAAGGCGATTTCCTGTTTCCCCTTAAACACCTTCACAATTGGGGTGATAAACTGCTCCAGGAAGTTGTGACGAAGCAGATTGGGCCAATTATGATGGATGAAGCTGATCAGCAGACCCTTGATATGCGATCCGTCCTGATCTTGATCCGTCATTATCATAATTCTTAGTAGGCACATAAAAAAGTCCAATCGACAAACAAAAGCAGACTGGGAATCATTCAAAGTCAGTAGAACTTACTTTCCGTAACGCAAATTGACAAGAGAATCCTGAGACTCGTACTTGTTCTTATACTGCAGGCCCAGAATCTTGATCAGGTTGTTAATCTCAGCATTCTCCATGATCTGCCGTGTCGGCGCTTCACGAACATTGAGCAGTTTACCTCGCAGAGGGAAAACACCATAGCGGTCACGTCCAACCACTCCGAGACCAGCCACGGCCAGAGATTTGGCTGAATCCCCTTCAGTGAGGATGAGGGTGCAGTGCTGCGAATTCTTCGTCCCCGCGTCGTTAGCATCGTCCAACTTTGGAATCCCCTTCAATTTAGCGTGCTTCGACTTATGGCACTGCTTATCCATCTTCTCTTGCGCCTTGAAGCGCACCCAAGAGAGAACACTCTCAACAATACCTGACTTGGAGACATGGTTGATGAACTTTTCGGTTAATTGGCAGGTGGACCCGAAGTACTTCGCCTCCAGACTCATAAACTCCTTGGTCTGTGAGTCGAAGGTGGGGTTCACCACGAGGCAATTGATGAAGACCCACATGTGAGAACGGATCTGGAAGTTCTTGATAGAGACACCGGATTTTCCCGACTTCTTCTTCACAATATCGATTAGCTTGCCCACCACTTGATCGACTATATAGTCCACATGTTTACCACCTTTGGTGGTGGCGATGCTGTTAACAAAACTGACTTGCTGAAAACCAACTGTACTTGGCGCCACGGCTATCTCCCACCGAGGATTCACAGACTCGTACACGGCCTGAAAAGCAGATGAAAAAAAAACCACTTATCGAGGAGGCAGAAATATGATGATTTCAGGAGAAACCAACTAACCGGTGCAGAATCGCCATCTTCACCCTTACCATTGAGGTACAAATCGACATAATCCTTGAAATTCTTAATGGGTATTCTTTGCCCATTTAAGAAGACCTTGACACCGCAGGTCGAGGCGGCAACATCGTAAGCTCTGCGTTCGAAAAGAGCGACAGTGTCAGCGTCCAGTTCAGTCATCCCAAATCGCTCAAGATCAGGATAAAAAGAAACACAGGTGAAGTCTTCACCGGAATTCGGGTTTATCTTTGGTTCGGATGTTTTGGTCATATTGTCCACCCATGTCTAACGAAATAAAGAATGGCATCTTTGATAAAAATGGGCAGCTTACCTGCTTGAAGCACTTTTTGTTCTCTTTACTTGAAGTCTCAACAACAAAACGTTTGCTGAAAATGTTACACAATTTTGCGCCATAACCATTGCGGCCACCGGTAACCTTCTGTTCCGTGTCATCATAATTACTCGATGTCAACAAGTGGCCAAAAATCAGCGAAGGAACGTACATATTCTCGACTTTATGATGAACAACGGGAATCCCAGCACCATTATTCCACACACGGATAAGATTTTCAGCTCTAAAACGATACCATCTAGGAAAGTGCTTACGGCTTGATATCAATCCTGATGCAGTTCATTGTGGGATCCCTAATCTTGTTATCAGCAGCATTTACTGAACCGATAACCCAAAAGCAGGAAAAATATTACCCAGAATCTCATCAAATATTTTATAAAGACCAGGCGTATATGTAATTTCCCTCTGCACCATAGCTTCCTTTTCCCTATCAAACACCCACATCATTGTTGTGGTCCGAGATACGGAGCCAATATAGGTGTCAGGACGAATCAGAATATGTTCTAACTGTGTTTTCTTTTGATAAATCCTCTCAACAGAAAGCCTCTTCTTGGCAGGCGCCGCAGGAGCAGCCTTCTCAATGATATTGGGGATCCCATTAACTGATGGTATATCGGCCATTTTGTGCGTGTAAATGCAGTCCGGCAGCCCAGATCTGAAAAACTTTGACCCCAAGGTACTTTTAAAAGAGTAAATGAAAAGTTGCCCTACCAGCTCAAGAGACCCAGGTCAACAAAACGTACAAAAGAACCAAAGAGAATCTTTGAAAGTCATAGGAAGCGGGGTCGGACGAAACATTTAAAAGAAGTGCATGCACTGTAATCCAAATTTTTTAGCTTAAGGGTAAATTATTCTGTAATTCATCCTGGTCAAATAAAATTGCAGTTAATTAGCAGTACTTGGGCTTAAATTCGGAACATATGGAGAAATGAACGACGCGAATTGATATATGGCATCCTAGCTATACGAAAAAAACACGCCAAATAATAAATTAACGCTCTTTATTGCCAACAACATTGGTTGTCATTGCTCCGGAAGGCAGATACCTATGAAAGCGGGGATTTTTGAATTATATAACCACAGGTGTTTGGGTTTTTAAACGTCGAAGATTTACGTCCCCTACAAGTGTTAAAATTGCTGTGAAAGCTTTTAAGCAAAAATTCGGGTAGATTTTAAAGTGAGAGGAAGTCTGTTTCCTTACTGACAATTGACCTCCAGATTCAGAGTGGCCCAAACTCAGTCTCGTCATATTTGGCTGCTTCTGCTCTCTGCTGCTAACTGATGAATTTGGACTTGGTTTCCGAGTTTTCAATCAACTGTTTAGTAATTTTGACTTTTTGACAAATGCGATGTGCTGTAATGAAGGAGAATTCGGTCTTAGAGGGTAGGAAGTTATGATTTTATATCTATAACATCTTCCTGAAATATTAAGTAGTAGCGTCTTGAGCCTTCGCTTGCGTCGTAGTAAGCTAAAGTAGTGTAGGACGAGGTTTGTAGTTCTCCTCTCCTCTGGTCCTCATACTCTTAGAACACCCAGGTTGATTCGACTTCGACATGTTTATTAGGATAGGTAAATGGGGGAAGCAAGTACAAGTTTAGGGGAGTGTGGACACGGCACCTCTCTCCGGGTTGCAGGACGTTAACACCTCAGTCACGAGATTTGATTCGTATCCCCACCTACTCCCTGAAAGGAACACTAAACCAAAGTAAGTATTACAGTGGTATAGGGATGCATGCATTAAGAATGTGCAGTAGGTCTGGGAGGCTACTTCCATGTCCCGAAACCCATGCCAAAGGGTAAAAGCGGTGCAATAAATTCAGCATTTGCTTTTTCACCTTGGCCTTTATATCCTTAAAACGAGTCGATTAGTTGGATGAAGACATGCTTTATCGAACAGCAGTTATTAAAGGGGTACAGGTATTGTGGGTTAAGCGTGCACGAAGAATGTTTCACCTTTGGTAGCCGACGGGGTGCTGACTCCGCACGAGGTTCGCACTTTCCTACCGCCCCTTGCCCAAAAGGTACCCTTAAACAAACATGTTTTATGGTACAGCCTGTAAAAAATGAGGTGCCAGCCTGGCGCTATATCATTTCACCACAGGAACAGCCTGGAATATAACTGAAATGGGGGTCCATTTTTCTGAAATAAATAGCTTGTGCTATCGCGTTTCTGAAACCTTTCAGTTCATCTGAGCTTTGAATTGAGATATCTGACTTAAGAGGGAGAGGGTGCGCTCCCCCAGCGTCATATTCGCATGCTCATCAGGTTGCTATTCCTCAACATTAACCAAAGAAAATATGGTAAATTTCTACCGCAGCATCTACGCATGCTCCTGCAACAAACTTAAGATTTTATTACTAACGGTCCTTCATTGTTAGGCATATTTGCCATTCTTGAGAAATAGACTTACATATTGACGATTTTGGTACAAAGGGGACATTAAAACCTTGAGAAGTTATGATGAGATTGCGTGGTTTTTTATCTGTTAAACCTTCTGGGAATTTCCATTCTTATGGACAGATGGCAGTGACATTAGAATTGAAATGTCAAAGGTTGCAGGATTGTGGAAGTTTTGCGGTCTGAGCCACGGTAGCGGTACCAATTGCGTGAGACTTTTTCGGGACTCCAAAATCTCTTAAATAAGCCTGCAATCCAAGTTGGCAGCTTTTCAAAAGCGGTCGTTTATAGCAGGTGCCCACCAAAGTTCAGCATCGCACACGCATTAGCTTTAACTACCGGTCAGTGGCTGTTTAACCTTTCCGTAGTTCAAAGCTGAAGGGCTAAATGCAATACTTTGATTGTTTGTTTACCTCTTTATTCTGGTTATATGGGCATGGAGGTCTCCACCGTGGTACTTGCGTTCGGCAGCATTGCCTCTGGATTACATCTGCAGTACATTTTGTTGTCTAGTATTTCAAGTTCTTCTGGCTTCGGGACAGATTTTAAGCGCTCTACTGGGCAGTCGGTTGGGAATCGGAGTACAATGGCTTGACATCTGTCTCTTGGCAATTAATGATAAATGGTTTGACAAAACCAAGAAGAAAGACTGAGGTTAGAACAGTGAAGCAAACGTGGGAGTCGTTGAACTAGCTAATTCGGTAGTGCCAATCCTGATGCTGTATGAGAACACTGAGGTGCGTCTCCTTGGCCATGGGGGTTGGTTTTCCTCTGAGGCTTTGGTAGTGAAATTACAAACCTCTCATTTTCATTATTTTAATTACACATCCTTAATCGACTTTCACCAAGTTATCTGCTAACACTCCGAAATTCTGACTGCCAACAACCTTACCAGCCTAATTCTTCCCTTTCTTATAAGTTTCGAACTATATCCACAAATTGCTTTGGTTCCTCGATGAAAACTTATTTTTAGCCTTAATTTATGCTTTTAGGAGAAAATAAAAAAAAAGTTGAGTGGGCGGTGACGAAGAAGTGGACGTGAATTTGAGCTGGCGCCAATGACATGTCACGGAAGCAAACCCAAAAGATTGATGACTGCCTAAATGACATCCTACCGAGCGATGTGGGAAGGAGGAGGCTACCAAATGTCGTGATTATGGAGATCTCTAATTGCTTATTAATGTTACTGCTTCGGCAAAATATCTGATCCTTAGTTGTTCTTGGAAGCTCACTCTCACCACAAGTTTTGCTTTCCCAGAAAGATCGAAAGCCTCATGTCTTTCATTTTGCAAATAAAAGCCAAAACATATGTCCGCCGCATTTACCACCTGCTCTGTGCAGACTTGAAAAGAGGAAAAACAAGTTGGGTCCAAATAGAAAAGCATGAGTTGCGTAGGACAGCAACACTGGTACAATTCAGAGAAACTTCCTGTTTACGGTGTTTCCACTGTGAAATCCATTGCCTTAAAGATTTACTTCAAGCCCGATTTTTATTTGCACATTTGAGAAGCCACAGGCATAACCGAAAACGCCCAGTTAAGGAAAGAAATCAAACTAGATCCTTTTTCCCATCTAGGCTGTTAATTGCAGATTTAGGTTCACTTTTAATAAAAAAATGTTTACTGGCATGCAAGACAAATGCTCGAGCATAAACAAAAGACTATTTAGTTGGGTATTTTAACAGAGATAGTTTTGACACAACTGACAATTTCCTAAGGTATTGACAATCTAAAATAGTAGAATTTCTTCACATAAATTGAGTATTTTAACGGTGAGAAAAGAGGGTTACACGTGAGGAAACACCATTGGTTACGTGTGAGAGGACACGGTAGTTGCAACTGCGGGGAAATTCCGCAAGAGATTCATCCCCATTAAGAAATCACGAAGTTAACATTGGTATTTCTCGTGTTATGACTTCAAAGATAGATACTGCTGGGGGGAATTGGGGTCTTCAACTAATTTACTTGTGCTTCAAAGAAAACATGGATGTCATGGGAAAAATATTACTTTATGATTTGCTATAATATATTTATACTATATACATTACTTCAAAGTATCTGTGCATCTGCCTTTGACAGCTTTTAATTGTCACTATTTGCAGATTTTTAGGCAAAATCCAAGCCAGCTGCATGGCAAGCAAGTCACATCACTCTTCTACCTGGTCACCTCCATTTGAAATGGATTTCTTCCAGTTCTTGGCCTTTTGAGTATGTGTGTTTGTTGAATTAGACCTCACTGCGTTTTTGCTGTCTCTGATTAAAATGAGCTACTTTTGTATTTTTTGCTGACTTTTCTTTTGTTTTAGCATGCGAATACTATTACTGCATTATTGATACCAGCTAGGCCATTATTGAAGGTGGCATCACTACCCAAAAATGACCTGCAGTTGAAAGCTTTAATAGTGATGTGCTTATGCACATATTTGTGTTAATAGCCTATGGCTATTTGTACAACTCATTTTGGGCGCGGTGTAACTCCTTAGTTTGCACAAAACCGTCGTAATCGAGAGAAGAAGGAAAGGGTTGAGTTGAACCCTAGATCTCGATTCGCTGTCTCCATGCTTACTGGGCGATGTCCAAATTAGCCCTCTTTTGCAAGTTTCTTAATCCATTTAAAACTCGTGAAGTATTTTCCCTAGGTGCTGATCGCTAAGCAGCGACAAGAGTCAATACATGGGAAGACTCACCCGACAGCACTTAAGCACATTCAGTCAAAAATGAATTACCACGACCAATATGATGTATTTAAGTATTTTACAATGACAGCAGCCACACTCACCAGTTCAAGTGCTGCTCAAAAGCTGATAATGGCCATGCCCAGGAACCCAGAACATCCACCATCTATGGCACTGTTTTGAACTCAGTCTATCCCGTTGTGACGCACAATAAGGAATTCTTATTACCCATCTGTGATGCAATAAACAGTGATTATTTTAAGTGAGTTATTTGAACTACTAACTTTCATTCAGAATCAAAACAAGCTGGAAGAAAAGTGATTTTTGTGGAAAAATAAACTACTGATTGAGTTATAAGTAGGTTCAGTAAACGCATAAAGAGAATGGTGGATCAGGGCAACGCATTTCATGGAATTAACCTCCTCTGTGCTTTATGTTTAAAGAAACGTTGATTATGAATTGAAGTGCCTTCTTTGTTAGTATATTACAAAAAATATGGATTCTTTAAGGACTGGGTTGTTTCACATCTTCGTTTCATTGTAGATTCAAGACCACAGGATGAGGTAAGGGAAGAGTCTTTACTAATGAATATCTTTAGCTGCACTTGCATTGTAAAAAAATGGGTGAAATAGAAGTAACTTCAAAGTGGTTATGTTTTGCACTTCTTTTAAAAAGCGCTTTTACATTTTTGCCGTTTGTCCCTCCACATTTGCTTCGCAACAGCCAACACTGGCAGGCCTCCAGGAATAGCTCTCACTATCGTTTTTTTTCAAGGCTAGTGTCTTGGCGGAATGAAACGAAAACAAAATAATCTCCTGACCCACTGTTCTCATGCTACCAAGAAGGCAGAAGTGGTTTCTTTTTTTAAGAAGGAGCTCCGGAAAGTATACCACTCACACTAAGATCGTTCATTTTGCTGTCATATAAAGTTACTAGTTAATGTATTTAAAAGATCTTTGTTTGCATGAAGTGTTCAATGCCATCATTAGTTCTAGACAGCTGGGGGGTGCAAATAGAAAAGGTAATTTACGCAAGTCCTAGTAGATGTAAAGAGTACCATGAGGTTTTAATATTATCTCCTCCACATTTCACTGAATGATTTTTATGTATCAGTCAAATTATGGTGTCGCACTCTGCAGCTTTGAATTTCAACAGAACTCGTGATGATTAGTTTTTGCTAGGTACTATATTAGCCAAATGCCACAATTCCTACTAAAATGGGATTTGCATGGTTTTCCACTACAACTACGCAAGCGCATGAGAAGTATGTACCTTCCCTCGGTACCGATGTATTTGAACTGTTTAACTGTTAGAAGTGGTGACAAGACGAATGATGGTATTCAGTAAAGTTGAAAATGAAAAATGGTAGGCTGGAGTGTGCGTTTCCTCTTCATTTGCCACGGGGACGCATTAGGCAATTTGGCAAATGCCCGAGGGACTAGATTTAACGCTCTACAGGGCGTAACTGAGCAAACACCGTTTCTAGTCCCACCTTTGCTTACTGTCAAGAATATAAAGAACCTTGTTTCAGTTTCCCTTTAAAAAACGGTGATTCGCTGACCTTACATACGGAAGGGCCACAGTAAATCTGTAAATTACTTGTCGTAGAAATCAAAATGGTTAAAGGTATGGCGATTCGAGCCACTAAGTCTTGCTATGTTAAAACACAATTTTGTTGTGACAAACTCATCTGGGGTTTCTTAGCACCCATTAGCTTTTTTGGTGAATCTGCTTCCTGTGCCTCAGTGGAGGAAGACATAGGCGGGTGTGCCTAAAAAAAAACTGGAGGCTACGGCGCCCAACATTCCGGGGTGGTTTGTGGTACAGGATTATCCCTAATTCTAAAACAAAAGGGCAAATATCTTACACAAAAACTAAAAGACATTCAAGAAGATAGGTCTGAGGCCTGAAGGTCTGGTGACTAAGAGAAACTAATTTTCACTACAACTAGGACTGCTGAATCAAAAATTTACCATTATGGAAACCAAAATGTCATGAATAGTGACGTGGATGTTAACTAGTGCTGAATTTTCGCCAGTCTTAAAGTGATTTAGATTTGGAATTTTGTATGAAGCAACTGTGAAACCACAGTCTCCATTTATACAGTTTCCAGAGTCTTGTACTTACATGATTTTGCACGTTCAAGTGAAACACAAGAAAGTAGTTTGCAAACGGAGAATGAGAGAGTCCTGCATTCACGGTACATCGGCTGAACGCACTGACTCGGACCCCTCCTCCGATCGGGCATCTCTACTCCGCCCACATAATCTTCCGCTTTAGCCTTGTTTAACGTAATTTAACTACTGGACCTTCTTGTGACAGATTTTCAAAATAAATTTGACAAACCCGTCAAAGTGAACCGCAAAAGGAGCAAATGTTGGTCCACTACTTCAGACCAAGCCGAATCATGGTGCATTACTCCTGATCGTACATGGGAATATGTCATATTTACGATGATAAAATGAACACTAAGCCTGTAATTTTGTTGAATATTCATTCCCTATGTGACCAACAGATCTGTTTCAGCTCCGCTGGGTTGTGAAAGGGACAATTTGCCCAAAGCTCCGAAATCTGTTCCGTTGTACTCATTTGTGGTTCAAGTAGTTTGCGCCACCTGGAATGCATAGATCCAGCATTTTATCAGTGATTAAAATGTGCCTAGTTTAAACTTTTTGGGGTAATTTTTAACATTCAAGTAATGGTTACTCTTATTACGAGGGGTGCAACATCCATCGTTTCCATCTGTTCGTCTCTCCATCCACCTGTGTGTCATTTGCTTAAGGCAGAACCCTTTGTTTTTACAAATAGCCTCAAAGGTAATGCGGGGTGGTTCGACCAATGAAATCTGCAAAAGTTATTTTGTTTGTTAAACTGCCGTGAGTATCATGCACACAGCGAAAGTATTTACTGTTTTTTTCCTCCCGCTTATAGCAAGGCTGCTGATCGGGCTTGTGATAAAAAGAATCTTCTCATCAAGTTGGTCGATTCCTTCTTAAAAGAACAAATCAAATCAAAAAACAATTTCTAGCTAATCAACCTTGAAATAAGCATCCATCTTGCATCATCAAGCGGGCCTCCAAATGTGTAAAAAAGCAAGGCGTGATTGATGACCTCGGTCACTGTTGATTATGGTGCGCGCTGATGCCGAGGTTCTGACAACTTGATAATCTGGGATACCGGGTCAGATAAATGGTCTTAGAGAGAATATTTTTGCCTGCACGAAAGGCCTCTGTTACTGCCATTCGAGCGCATTAGAGGTGGCGCAGACAAATGGATGCTGCGTTTGCCAGCTATCAACGCCACTGTTCGGAGAGACCGTAAAGTGCACTATCCCCAAATGCATCTGGCTAATAAAAGACATTATTTTCACCAATTGGGACCCGGTTAGTGGGTTCGAGATATTTCGTCAAAAATACAGTAAACAGATTTCTCCTAGAGGAGAGTTCTTCATTAAGCAAATCTTTTTAACAAAAGTAACAAAATATATATTTGTTCATTCAGTAGAGCTAACTTTTAACGAACCGGCAAGACCTCATTTCCCTAGCTCTTAAGGCAGATTTTCTGGTGGTTTGCATAAATTAGAAACGGATGGATGTATTAAGCACATGCACTGACTTAGGTTAAGCACCTGGATGGATGAATAGTTCAGAAGAAAAAAATGCACAATAAAGTAAAATTTGGCCATTTTTATCTACCAAATGTATTACGTTGATGGGATGACGGAGCAACTGGGCAAATGGAGGGAAAATAAGGTAAGGAGAAGTAGTAGATTAAACAGGGGCCAAAAATCGGCCAATGGAATCGCATGTCATGCAGTACTGAATAAAGCAATAGTGGGTGAGAGATTGTGTAATCAACGAAATATGGGGACTTTTTCTATTTGTGCGTCACTTTTCTGAAAATTCACATAGAGGGCTGATTTTAAAAATATTAGAATTAACGGTGCTGTTTGTGTCAAAGCAAATGTTAATTCCGTCCAACTCTTAAGAGCCTCTGTTTTATGATATGGGTGTGCAATTATGCCAGAAATTGCCAAGAGTTGAGTAGTGGGATGCAACTGCAGAACCTCTTGTGGACTTGAGTACTTCGGGGAGATGAGAATTGAGAAAACTTCCAAGCAAATCATTTTAGATTTTCTTATTGCCAAAATAAATAAAGCAGGTTCACTCCTTCTATAAATTTGGGAAAAATAAATTTCTTGCTCCTCTCGATTCAACAAAATCAAACCACATACTCTCATGCATTTTAAATGCTAAAATTTGAGGCATCGCTTACCGTTGTAGCTTTAATAATATCAGCAAAGCCTAGCTTAATCTCTGTCAGGAAATTAGGGATGAATAAAGCACCTGAGCTTCCAATTTTCGACATATTATGCCACAAATTTCCCCACTGATGTTTACTTGGGACAACAAATCGGGCGCTCCGGCGTGTCGATAAAAGATGAGTTCTGACTATTGTCATAAGTGCGTGTACAGTAAAACAGCTAGTTACTCTCCAAGAATCTTTTTAATTGCGTAGAAGAAAATGTGAGTGCTCAGCCTGATGATTCGACCATCAGGCAATGCTTTGATTAGTCGTTTATCTTTTCCTTTTGGTTACATAAGCAATGAAGGGCGCTTTTTCACGGCCAGTAGCCCCCCAGCTTTTCCTTACGCCGATAATACATATTCCGACCTGGTATAATGTCATCTTTCGTCCTCGGAGAAGTTTCGGGTCGCTATCTTGGTAGCAACAAAAAAGCAAACTCGATCCTATGGGGCAAATACCCTGATTCTCACTACGAAAGGGCAGTCTGTGAATGGGTTTGGAAAAATGTCATCTACCCTCGCCGAATACCTTAGTCTCGTGTTCTGCATGTAAGGCATTAACATCTGAAAAGTTCGTTATGGAACTGTCTACGGTACCCATTTGGGAATTCCAACCGTGCGGACAGGCTACATCTCCGCCGCTTCTTTACTAGCTGGATTAGCACAAAATTTCATCCTCATGGCACAAATTTAAACACTGTTCTTTACTAAATGACCCTGCTTTTAGACCAGTGCTTTTACGACTAGTGATAGACGTACGAGATGCCCAGCTCATCCCCCTTTCTCCCAATGCAGTTCCCAAATAAAGCAAAATCCCATATCCAGTAGAGTTTTTGCGAAAAAATCAGCAAAGCGGTGGTCAAATATCTCTTTACTTGCATGGAAACTTGATGACTGACACGGTTGGCTCATGAATGTTTTTTAACTACACTGATCACGTTTTAATGGCTGAAGCGGGAGGTTGACCAAGAAGAGCGCAGAGGACGACGCTTGAAAGAAGAGAGGAGGCAAGTAATACTTCAATTGTTTGTTTAATTTCTCATTTTGGCTAAACGGGTACTAAAGGACTTGGCCATTGTATTTTTGGTCGGCGACTTGGCATCCATACCATGCTAGTAGTCCACCTGTACTACGATAACCCAATTTCTGCCCAAAGACTATTCCTTCTGTCGTCTTCAGAGAAGTCTAAATGAGCATATCTGAAGTGCATCCTCCCACATATTTTTAACAATGGCAACAAATACCACTGTGCCGATTTAAATTCCACTCGGTCATGTCTGCTTCCATTTTACCGATTTTTTTGAAACTGTAAAGCCTCATTTACGTGTTGTCTGAAACAACGCAGAAACCAGTGCCTAATTCGAGCGCCTTGTCTAAATTAAGGTGGCTTTCCTCAAGGAATAGGGTGACTCTCCACTCAAAATATGTGAGAATTATTTCCCGAAACATCTTAATCAGATTTGGACTAATAAAACTGCGCAAAAGCAATGGAAAACAAGAATTCATGCCTACGACGGTTTCAAAATGTGGTATCTTACTCCAGGGAGCAAGGGAATCTGCGTGTCTTACCTTTTAATCCATCTCCGGTCTTCTTTACTGACATTTGTAGCATCTTTTCATTCAACATAGCAGCACGCACTGCTTTTGTATCAATTTGGACCTCGTTTTTTGTTTGTAGATTTTTTCACAGATCCTCAATCAGTATACCAATATTTTAAAACTAAACTATACTTTCTTGTCCTTTAAAAGTGAAAATAAATGCCCTTAATGATTCTGTCCTGCGGCATTATGGACAGGAATCTTCCTGCACAACACTTTTCTCTCTTTGGATTACCTGGATGGAGCTAATTGAAGAAGAGTACAATCAGAGAGCATCCACTTCCTTAGCGACGGTGCTGTGCAAGTAACTCCTCCTGTGTCCTACGTGGCTGGCAGTATGTTTGCTTCCCTGTGATGACAGAACGATGCTTTTCCGACCTTCCCTAAGTACCCTGCTATTGGGTCATAAATTAACTTCTTTCTTTAAAATCAACTAAAATTTTTTAAAAGCTCTATTTAAAACGCCACTTCTACTATCCCATATTTTAATTAAAGAGCACTTAGCTTTTACCCAAAAAAATTACAAGGTGTTTGTTTTTTGCACAGCAAGCACCTGTCCAACTGCCTTTTGAATGTGAGCAGAGAAAAAGTAAGAGCAATTCGTCCCTTTAAAGTTTCACCAAATTATGGGACATCGAAAGCAGTAGAAGACATCGTCTTTACTGTGTACAATGACGAAACTTTAATGAGGTCGGTTGAGAACCCAGCCAAGTGCTAAATGGCCTCGATGGTCCCTTAAGAGACCTTGGAGTTAGTAAGTTTGGATAGAACCTTGCCAAAACGTATACAGAAGGGTCGATGGACTGATGAAAGCACTGTAACAACACCAAATTGGTAACCAAAAGAGTAGCAAATGAGGAATCCAATTAGTGAGGTCACCACATTGCTAGTCGCTGAGGGATTTTTGAATCCACATTATTACACTCATCCATGGTCTCCGTTGACAGATTACACAGCTTTATTTTTCAGCACGGAAAAATTGTCAATGTTTTCTATAAGTATTTTCCTTACTGTGAGCACCAAGTATTTCCTGCTTGTTTAGTGGTAACTCCCAAACCGAGGCGGGGCGCGCATTGGGATGGATTGAAGGTGGTGAATAGAAAGCAGCAAACTTAAAGCAGCGATGCAAGCATTGAAGTCAAGCGCAGCTCCATGCTCCTCTTTCACAGAAAGTCTATTTGGATATTATTTATTTCTTTAATGAATTCAAGTGTGTGTAAGAAAATACCTGTTGGTTGTACTGCCAATCCTTCGTATCCAAAGGTGAAGTGGGATATTCTCGACTTATCCTCATTCATTAAAATTTATAACCTCTTTCAATTTCATCACTTATTGAAGAAGTAGCCGACTGTGTTCTGCTGTCCTGCGGTCAAATTTCTATCAGCTTTTCACGATATTTTGACATATCTCCTTGAACTTCAGAACGATCTCTTGTAGTCTGGATCTTGCCAACATTGAAGATTAGACATGGTAGTTGCTCTACTCGCCATTCCTTTGAGGTCACAATAATTTGGGGGTCTCACGAATCCAGTGTTTCGATTATTCACGAGTACTTTGTTGTCCTGAGAAGTATGAATGCGTTCTAAGCCACAGAAGAAGTGAGCACATAGGCGCTGGTGCCTACAAATACACCGGTTCCCGTTCCTTTGAGGTACCAAGACAAAGCGTGGGCAATTAGACTAACCTTGATGTTGTTACTGCCTGAATTCTCGCTTCTACACCTAAAAGTGGGAAATATTTACTTTAAAGAATTTGAAGACTTCCTTAGGGTAAAAGTCACTAACGAAACTGCATTCAAATTTGGATGAGGTTGAAATCACGCCTTAAAATAACAGCGGCGGATTTGCATACGAATTCAGGGCCACGGAAAATTGATTATACATTTGACTGGATGAAAATGTATGAAACTTGACAAGAATAGTTTTTACTACAAAGCCCCTTATTTTTAAAGTTTTATGGCAATAACGCTCACACAGCTTCTAAGCGTCATTCCTTCCAACATTCATTCATTACCTCAAAGGCAATAGGAATGCATTCAGCCTTAAAAAAACCGCATTTTTTGCTTTAAGTGGCTTGTACGCACTAAAAAAACATCAAATGCAAATGTAAGGATGTCAAGTTGGTTAGGCCAGTCCAACCTTTTTAATGCCATATTCATGGAGTGACAGCTCTTGCCTACACCACATGTGCGCCGTCGGAGTTTAGGAGATTTTTCACATCCTATTTGGACTTGCCTTTTACCTACTCTTCATAAACAGATTCCACAAAGCTCACTCATCATTATGTCAGCACAGAAAAAGTCATTTTATATCTGAAGTGCTAAATTATTTATGTGACAGCAAAATTACCTGTACTTCCAGATCGTTCTGCATTCCGGGGCGATTGACAAAAGGCGACATCTTTAAAATGTGTACAAGTAGGAAGTCTAAAACCAAATGCGGGGCAAAACTGATCAGCAGAATCTTTGAAATACGTCTAAGCCCATGCAAAACAAATAAGAATGCGAGAGGATGGACGAAACTTTTGGTAAGAGGAGCATTTGTTGCCCATCACACAGCCACTCCGACTGGCAGACGAAGTGACGTGCATGAGCTGGCGTGCGTGTTTTGCCCTCTGAGCGGCGATGGAGCGACTGTAATCTAGGTGATCCCAATTAACGGCTGATCGCTTTTCAGTCACTCACATTTGTTAATAAGCACTGTGGCATTGACGTGATGTGAGAAGGGGTTTAAGTGGACTGGATTTTCGCTAGGAGTTTCGGTCTCTCTCACTAGTCACGTAGTGTGAGTGTACGTTGGTTACCTTATCCATTAAAAACGGGAAGATTTGCATACCTCTGTATTTATTGAAAGCTGTAAAGCTATTTTTTTTTTAATTTGGGAAAGCTGGGGCTATTTCATAATTGGTCTTGCCTTAAGCTAAAATAGCCTTAGCTGATAAGCCCTATACTCCACTTTGCCTCAGCAATCAGTCGCTCACGATTTACGTGTCGGGATTGCTCAAGTTCTGTAAGAGTTGGCCCAGATCTAGAAAAGAACGCGCGAAAGAGTCAAAAGAATTTTCCAGTCAGAATTTTAGTGGTAAATTAAAAAATTGCATCTCCATGCATAGGAGTGATTTTCTTTCATAAATGTTTTACTGCGTCACCCTTTTGAAGTAACTGAAATGGGAATGAGTCTTGTGGTTATCAGCAAAATAAATACGCATAAATAACCAATAAAAAGTAAATAAAGTTGCTGTGTGTTTGCGTAATATGTCATGTGACACTTAAAGATATCTCCATTGTATTGTACTATATTGTATTATGCTAACAAAACTGGTTTGGAAACAGTCTGATATATTAAATAACAGAAAAGGAATCCCACAGTCTGCGCCCCTTTGATTCAGACAAATTTTCTTCACCCACAATATCTATATCACCCTATTTTTTGACAATGACCCGTTAAGATCATCTCTATGACCTTGACTGGTCATCAAAATGTAGAAATTGTGAGGAATAATAGTTAAGGGTAGATTTTGTAGATTGAATAGTCTTTATTGGACACTTTAAGAAAGGAAATGCTCCTGATGGGCAGTCTCAGTCGACCATGTTTTCATTCGTACTAGATCCCTTGCATCGTCCAATTTAAGTTTCTCCTCAAATTGTGTGTAGTGACCGAATGCGTCAGTGCAGATTCCATAATCTTTATTAAGAGCACATTCGCTGGGAACGGATCACCTTGCGAGGGCACCACCGCCCATTGCCTTTCTTACGGTTGAAGAGCGCATTGCAAGTGTCTCTCAACATCCAGATGATGGCATTTGACTTATCTTCGTGGTACACCAAATCACTCATACAATTTTTTTAGCACGAGTTGATATCGGTGTAGATTAAGTCGAATATATTAACCAAGAACAACAATTTTTAATCATAAAAAATTATTCTGGTTGGCATCGGGTTTTCCATGCATGGTGTAATCCCCAAATAGCAGCGCACCTGAAAAAAATTAGCAAGGTAAACGAATAGAAACTTACTTAAGATAGAGGAGTCTTTACGCTGTGATCATAAAGCAAAAAATTAACAGTCAAGACAGCACAGAATGCGACTCAAAGACCAATTTATTGAATTTGTCAATTTGACCTCGTTCTACGGCCCGTTTTACCGTTGTTTTCCCAAATCTCGTATCACATTTCGTCGTCAGCCCAGTTGGATCTTGGAACAGTTCGTTAAAAGGATATAGACGTGATTTTTTGCCCTCAAATAAGTGGAAAAAGGGCTTACTTTGAGAATTTAATTCCTGTGGCTATTAGTCAAAAATGCGGATGATAGAACACGTTCAACAGGTCACATTTGTGGAAAATGAAGACAGTGGCCAACAGGATCGCAGCTTTCCCCTGTTACCCGTGGGTGGTCAAAACTTTACATTTTTCGGTAAGAAAAATCACAAATACCATTATGTGCAACACTGCAAATCACAGCTTGAGACAAAGCCCTATGTTCAGTGAAAGAGAAATTCCGTACACACTACTCAAATGATTTCTTCACACAGGGTGAGAAGGCACTGACATACGGATTAGTGATACAAGTCGACCGGAAGTCAATGCTGATTTTGACCATTTTGGCAGAAATTTTACTGCTAAAGTCATAAAATAGCCTTACAAACCAACATAGACGAAGTCTTTTTACCCTAGGGTCAGTGCCATGCTCAACGCCGATCGACCTCCTCACTCGCTCTAATAGATAAAAGCTAAGGGTGTTTGAGTATAGGTTGCTACAAAAGCATTTGACTCCCTAAATTGTGGTGTCAGTGGAGGAAATCACAACTTGCTGGAAGAATTTATGGTTTTAACGCAGTAGGTGCAAGTCATTTTGGAAACAAATTAAAGTAAGGTAGTGAATGTACTGGTTAATTAAACAACAAATAAAGTGGCAGAGACCCAAATGACTTCGTTACTCAATTTTATTACTCTGCGCTCATCGACAGTGAGTGAAATTGCTGTTAAGTGTGCATCTTAAAAGGGTTTAATTAATAGTCTAGCCCGAAACATTCGTCTCACCATAATTAATGCGTGCAGATGGACTGCGAGAAATGAATAAAGTGTTTCTGGGTTATATGGATAGTCATCCTACTAGCTACAGAATCCATTTTTAAGTGTCATTTTTCAGCTGCATCGGTTGATGAACATTGAAAGAAATTCCCATTTTGACATTTCTGGTACAAACGCAGGGTGAAGGCGAAGAGAGCAGTCGGTCACCTCTGAGGGTATCCTGTAACGAGTGTCGTCTAGCTAGCTGATTGCCTTTCCTATTTTAAGCAGCAGTTTTACACCGAAGTGAGAATGGCTGCCAAATCCTTTTATTTGAGGGAACAGGATGTACTTCTTAGACAGGAGGTATGCAAAGGCAACAAAAATATCTTTGTTGCCTTGGTCTCGTAGTATGTTGTGTGGATGGTTTGGGGCATTCGGGAATGACCAGACGTCTAGTTGTGCTCACGAAAGCAGTAGCAAAGAAAGTTAATTTGGAAATATTACCCGAATGTTGGATAATGTAAAGGAGCAGTGTTGTATGGGATGAGACGCCTAAGGGAAAATGATATTTGTTTTGATTAAGTATGTAACTACGAGAGCTCCTCAATCAAAGCAAATCTTACTATCTTTTTGGAGGCACAGCCCTACTTCCACGGCTTTACCTTCCCAGCCCCCCTGTGCAATAGCAATAAACCATTCCTGGTACGTCTTACTGCAAATTCAGGGAGGAATGGGGTTGCTGCAACAGTTTATTACAGAGTGATGGCAAGACTTCAAGCACTTTGCTACATAGTCATAATAAGTGTACATTAAGGATTTTCAAATTATCCTTAAGCATTTAAGATATGACCTTATGAGACGCGAAACAAGTTACATAAATTAAAGCAGGTTTTGGGGATCACCTGCTCTACAACGATGGAAATCGAAACGACTATTTCTTTTTAGTAGCAACTAGATTATCCCAAAGAGGTAAAAGTGCTTTTAAACAAAACAAAGCAGTAACTGGGGCTGATAAAACTCTAAGGCAAATGGATTAAAGTGTAATGTTGAGAAGGTGGAGCCACGTTTAGTCGTGTGGAACTGACTATGTAAAAGGTAAGGGATAACACTCAGAAATTGAACCAGTTTTGCTTTGCTATGGAACCAATCTAAGGCATCAAAAGTACCGCAACGAATTTGCCCAGAGAGAGTGATTTTAGGCTGCCCAAACTTGGTTTTAAAACATGGTTTTTAGTCTTTCATTAGCTAGGATGACTAAAATGCGCCCGTTGCCAGCGTCGCATAGACATAACGGTACAATTTTCCCTCCTGAGCCCGATATCAGTTTAGAACAACAAGTTGCACCAAATCGTGTGCCATACATAGGGATAAAGTTTAAAACAATGAAAAAGGCGTAGGAATATGGTCGCCCGATGATGACTGCATGTCTTTTAGCTTTTGGGTGGCAGCCAAACTGCCCATTTCGGTGGGGCAGTAATCAGCTAAGTATATCTTGACAGTTGTAGTGGTCGAATTTCCTCTAAGTCCCCGAGCGAGCAAACGATTCTTGCAATATAAAGGCTTAACTTCATAGCAAAAAATAAGATTAACCTTTGTCCATCTCCTCAAATAGCTACGAGTGAAAGAACCACCTCATCTAAAGGGGAAAAATAGACTCAAACTCTGATGCCTTGTTTTGCTTTTTTGTGAGCATTGTAGAAGGCACACTTCGGTATCACAATTAGCAAATAACTGTAGTGACTAATTGCCATAATATAGATTAAATCCAGATCTAGAATACGATCTTTTATCAATTTTTCCCATTGCCTTTTTCAGCCATGATCAACTGTCATACGCAGTTACAGCATTTGCGTCCGAACTAAAATCAGTTTTTGGAAAACTTCTTCTTTAGCCGACCTCATCTGCCTGTTTGACTTTCACATTTCCAGTTGTTACCCTGTTGCTATGATGTTCACTTTATCTCACTCATGTTATGTGTCGACGAGTATCTGCATATTCTTTACACACAGAATCATCAACCTTACTCAAACATCACATGGATGTGGGTGACAGTTGAACCCACTCCACAAGTACAAGGAGCCCAATTTCCATTCCCAGGTACCACAACTAAAATTCTAGGGATGGAGGGGGTTGGCTGTGGATGACTAAGGAGTAATGATAGGGACGCCAACGGTGATGAGGAAAAGTGGCAATGTAATTACTATAGCTGTCCATTTACGCCGTGGACACAACGGTCCTCTCAGTTTTCGATCACAGCCTTGGTGTCATGGCGGTATTGTTCATGAAGCAGTGGACGGGCATCTCCGAGCATTTCAAATGGAGTTACTTGTAGAGACAATCCTGTAACATCCACAACGTCGACACGACTGCTATAACTTGATCGGGAACGATATCTTCCCTATTAAAAACCGCTTTCGACAAGCGATGCGAATACATTCGCTCACATAAACTTCTTTGGCCTTCACAAGTCAAATGAAACTGAAGTAGAAATTTGTTGCACTTCCAATTTATCAGTATCCTAAGAATTTAACTATGCTAACCAGACCATGGATTAACAAACAAGTCTGAAGGGTGACAATGTAACACTTTGATTAATTGTATGACTCTTCGTTTTGGTTTCACGGGAGCTTAAGCTTTCTCCTTTGTGCTTGAGCTGGGCGATATAGTCTCTGGACCATGCTAGTAGCCTCGAGCCCCTCTGTGCATCGGCGGCACATATTTTGTCCGAGCATTTTCCCTTGCTTAGTCCTTGGGGAAGTCTCGAGGTGATACAGCGACACCTTAATTTAAACGAACTTGAGTTTTTGAAATTGGTAAAATGGTGAGAAAATAACTGGTGGAATGTCGCACCTGTAAAAAACCACGCACTAATATAAGGTGCCGCTAACTTTAAAATTATATCTAAGTATATTTAGGGTCTGAGTTAAATTATTTGTTTGGAAGAGTTTCCTATTCAAGCAAACTTGTTTCATTACGAATGGCTCAACCCCGATGACGTTTTGGAAGTAATTACCCCTTCCTCACTAAAGAAGTATAGGGTTCTTTATAAGCATGGAAATTTGGGGCACCATCACAAGCATTATCGCCTGTAGCCCTTAAAATGCTTGAGCGATTTAGGGCTTATTTTAGAATAAAGCCTCCTCTTCTTGGTCACGACTGGAAATGATCACAGACCCATTTATCACCCATTTATCACAGTCGAGCTGTTCGGACTTCGGAGAGAAGGGCAATCCGAACAGCCCTTTACCGGCCTACTCACGCAATCCACATCAAGTTCATACTTGCTTCCCATATTCGATTAGCTTCAAAAAGGGGTATTTTTGTTTCTTGCAAAAACTTATTCGTGAACAGCACTGAAAATCGCTACAGTGATAGCTGGATAAATTAACGGTAGTGTTTGGTTGAACTTCGTAGCTCTATTTCCTAGGTATGTGTTTCCATTTATTTGTTCATTTGTGAGGTGACTAATTTATGCTGACTGGCTAAATTAAGCTGCCTTTGTGGAGGTTAGCGCACTTCCATGTCATTTCCAGTTAAATTGCTTAATGTTCTAGCGTCTCTAAGTGATACACTCCAATTCCCAGGTGATTTTCAATTACGTGGCATATTTACAAAAACACCTAAATTTTCAAAAAAAATGAAGTGAGTTCAGGTAGGATTTGAAACCACAATGACAACGCCACACAGTGTGCCTCGTACAGCAGCACACATATTCGGTCAGAGTGGTGGAGTTAGCAAGAAAGGAGGGTTCACTCCTTTGCCCCCTTCGCCTTCACCCCCGACACCACCTCCTCCTTGGAAAGGCTGAGTGGCAGGGTTAAATGCTCCAGCACCGTTGGGTTGCTACGCAACAGACCCGTGTCCAGCACCAATTCCGCCTTGCCTACTTCCTTGTACTCTCGCATCAACTCGGTCAGGTTGACCTCCGCTCGTGTTCCGACAGTGACGGTGCCGGTAGCGTCGGAAGTGGCCGAAGAGACGTAGGGGATCGCGCCCACTGTATACCGCCTCCGTCCATACGCCAAGGTATTCGTCCAGGGCCTAGCAAATAGTGTTGCTTCGATACGTGCTCGCTCCAAGCGCTGCAGGCTTACTGCATACTCGAATAGGTGGTCGAACTTAGGGTAGTCCGGTACTGCTGGAGTGACCATGGGTTTACTCAAATACGCACTGGTTCTTGATCGAGGCATGATGCAGACTTGTAGCGTGTAGATCATTGGGATCCCCTCGGGTGGAGGTAGACCGGTAACCCTGTCTACCACCACTCGAAACAATTCAACAGTGTGGACGTAGCTGATGGAGAGATGGAGGGTGGGAGAATAAACGAGTGATTGAGAGAATTGAATGCAGCTGTTAGCGGGTCGACGAAGGAAATGTTTTTCTTTTTGCCATAGATTTTGAACAGACTTTGGAGCAGAATAACGTCGGTGAGGGAGTACGGGAATTTCGAGAATTCGAGAATTTCGGATCTCGTGGATGGGAGAGAGGGTGGTGGAACGACAAGTTGAACTAGGAGGTTGAACAAACTGCTCGTCGAGGAGTATTGAGGGAGCTGCAGTCTGAGAGTCGAAGGTGTCATAGGATAATTGACGAAAAGCGTAACCTGTTGTCGGAATGGCAGTGTATCTATGACGCAGGAGTGTGTAACTGAGGGCGAGGAAGAAGAGAAGGCAGATGGCGACGAAGCAGGAGAGTGCAATGGTGGCTGGCTGGGAGAGATGATGGCTATACGACTGCTGTAGTGGAACCATGGCTATTAAGGAAGTAGAGAAGGCATTTCACAATTAATCTTTTTTAAAAATGCAAACGCCTTTGCATTTACATTTACCTTTCTGTGCTCAGCATTCTCACGATCTTCTGTGAAGAAATCAGATTAAACGAATTTTGCTTTTGAGAGGGCGAAAATAATGCACGTGCATTTAAAAGAGTGCAGAGCGGGCAATAAAGGACTCAGAATGGAGAAAGTGTAATGGGAAACTTAAATAACAAGGAAAACTCAAATGTTTATTGCAAAATTAATTTTATGCTACTGATAAAATAGCTACTATTCTACCCGCTTGTTTTCTCAGGAATAAGAGGATGTTTAGTTAAGCATGAAGTTGGTGGGATGAGTAAGGCCTCATAAAATAACCTCGATGTCCAGGCTGAATGTTACTCAAAATGAATGACAGCTGTCCTACAAAATTTTAAAAAAATTTTTAATGAAATCATCGCAGTGAATATTTGTTGGTGCATACTTTTTCTGCCAAAGGCTTACTTATTCAGTAATTCAAACTTAACGCAATCGAAGGGGTGTGTATTTCGTACAGTTTTGCATATTTTTGTTCCACTTTGATCGAAACAACAGTTGCGCGTTCTGGAAAAGTTAACTCCATGAAATCGGTGATGATTCGAACTAAGAGACGGTGGGACTGCTGAATGTTTGTGAGTAGTATCCGCACTACCATCCATTTATTTGCTATTTAAATAGCGAAGTATTACCCTTACATTGTCGGTGTTAGGTTTACGATTTTTTCTTGCTTAAATTAGTTTTATATGCGCATAAATGAAAGTGACAAGACTAAAGTGCAGAGGTTAAATAACAAAGTATGACCTTCGAATGGAATTTCACATTTTGTAATGAAAAGGTGACCATCTTCCCGGCATGATAGGATTTGGAACCGAGCAATGGCAGCTATTTTCGTACAGGAAATTCCGGAAAGTGCGATTCAAACGTTATATCCAAAACCCTTCAATTTTTTTCAGCGATTTACTTCGGCTTGTAACTCAAATAGCCTTCAAAATTATTTGACACTCTGATCTCTCCCTCTTAAAAACATCTGTTCTTCATTTTGTTTATGACCTTTAAGTTGCCATTGAAGTGGTTGTTTAGCAGGTTGATCAACTGGCATGAATGGGATTAATGCAGCAGCTTTGGGAAAGTAAAGAAGGAAAAATCTCAGATGCACTTCAACTCTCAACCACCAAAAATTAGCGAAATCACACTACCTTATACCTGATAAAATGTAAAACCTGTAGGCATAAAAGCAAGGTGAAGCGCACTTACCTGGGTTAAGCCTAGAATTAAGCTGGCTTTTTGTTGAAACAAACAAGAATTTGTACCAAATAAAGGTAAAAGGCGCTTGTAACTTTTGATTGACTTAAATTCCAAAAGGATCTGATATTTACCTTTAAATATGTAGGAATTTGGGAGATCACTCCAAATTACTTCCTTCTTATTGTAGGAGGGCAAAGGTAATGGGTGAATTTGGAGAATGCAGGGGGGGGGGGGGGGGCTTTACCAATGTCTCGAGACCCAGATAACCAAAATCACGTGCCAATCTGCATTTGCAAGTGGAAATCCCGTAGCCGTCTCGCGGGGATTATGTGTGTACATTATTTGATAAATGCCCATGTTGCATGCAATTATCAAGTCATCTTTGCTAGTTGGTTTGCTCTTTTTACTGGCAATGGAAAACCTGGAATACAACTAGTTTTTGGGAAAATTTTGCGGGAGTTCTGGAACGCATCTGTAACCAGGAAATTGATGGACTTGGACGAAACTCCCAGGCAATTGTAACATCGAGGAGTAAATTCACATCATTTAGGTTAACACTTAAAAACCAAATTTTTCCTTACAAAAATTGTGAAACATCGGTTTACCTATTTTAATAAACAGACATTCGGTTACCACAAAAGGTAACCGACGCAGGCAATCTCCCTTAGCCTTAGTGCAGTCCATGGAAAGCCACAATTGCGGGTACCATTGAAACAAATGGTCGAGAACAAAAAATCTACAAGAAAGGAAACCTGAAAATTCAACTACTAAGTCTCCTGCGACAGCAAAGTCTGCGTTAGCTAAGTTGTTCTTCCTAACGCCCATTAGTAGCAAAGTGCAACAGAAGGAGGCAAATCCAGTTGGTCAACGTCATGACATCATTAAAAAGAGGACAAAAAATTTTGTGATTTGGTTGATTTTGACCATGCATACTCAGTTGAGCTGATTTAACCATGGACAACGCTTTCTTGTATGGTACTTGCATCATAACACAGTGTGATTTAACTTTACAAACTCAAAAAATCAATCTTCCTTACCCCTATTTATGAACCAAAGCATAAAGAAGGAACTTCGCGGCTAAAATTAACCAACCAATTTTGGGACGAGATAGAGGGAAGCTGGGATGACAGATGGCAGTCGAGCATTTATGAATCTAACCCCATTGTTGTATGCAACTTACTTTTTTAGTTCCGTAAGGTCACATCAGGGGAGCTGATAAAAATAACAAGACCAGACGAAAATAGTCTGAGGAGAATGAGAAGGACAGAGGTATTTGAGGAGAAAGTGTAAGGAAGCAATTATTAGTAAAATATGCACTATCGTTTTGTACGACTAAACTTTGGCTCTGTATCTCGAAGTCATGCACTTGTTGGAAGATTAATACTGAGTTAAATTTGTCGTAAGGATGCCCACGTACAGGAATGGTAAGGTAGTCAATTCTTTGCATTTTTACCCTGTCAGAGAACAAAAGGCAATAGACCTTTCACTTTTTAAGCCTGCATTGTTTAGGATGACTCGACTTCCCATTATGTGCCTCGAGTTCAAATCTTACTTGAATGGGAGCATTGAGTAAACCTAATAATTCCGAAGCCTACTTGTAAGACATTAAGTAGTAAACATTGGCATTTTTACCAAAGTTGAAATAGGGACGCTTACCTATTGCTCAATAGCAGAATACAATTGGCTTTTTATAGAGATGTAGTCAGTAAACTCAAGCATTTCTTTGTCAGATAGAGTAAAATACAAGTGGAGATGGTGGAGGCGAAATGGGGTGGAAGGAGAGACGTTGCCCTTCTCTTCTAGACGGCCAATTGCAAATTTAAGCTTAAAACGCAGCAGTGGGAGAAGAAATGATAAATACGAGACACGTAAGCCAAAGCATTTATCTCTACCTCTAAACGTTCTCTCTATTCACCCAACTAATGCAAGTAATTACCCGAGCATAAGAAAAGAGGAAAGACAGGCTGTTTAGCACCCTCGCCTCAAATGGAGAAACTTCTCGCTCATCCGGAAGATCTATCACAGAAACAAGTTTTGGTCACTCGTTAGCTAAAGGACAGAAACCAGATTACTTTATATAAGTAAAGAACTACAATCCAATCCCCGCTAATCTGGTCGCAAATTGACTAATAGTTAAGTGTGTAGAAGATATATTAATAAGGGTCAGTGGATTAAAGGTCATCAAAGGGTCGGATGACAGAATGATAGTTGTTTGTCTGTTTGTCAACGTGGGCCCTCAACGCAATTTTTGATCCGCACACCTTAGTTGCACAACTGTCTGCTTACATCATTTCTGTCCAAAGCCTATCAACCCTTCTGCGTAATTGTGCTAAAGTTCTAATCAGACTTGCGCATTCCAAAAAGTCGTTGAGGAGGCCGTGGTTGCCACTATACTCTACACTAGATTAGACAAGTTTTAAGGAACTAAAAAATACATTTAAATTTGTGTACCCTTACAAAGATTTGTTCACTTTTATCAACTCACCAAAATCTGAAATAAGTTAATCAACCAAATTTGGGCAGGTTATCTCTGCTTGGTATTTACCAAGTCCTACTTGTTCGCTTTTTCAGTGGATTTCGGAGATGTTCATAGGGCTTTTGGTATAAAAATCTCGATTTAAGCTGTTGCACTATTCATCCAAGTTTTCGACAGAGGCCATGAAAGAGAACCTTTAAAGAATGATAGCAGAGAAAGTGTTTCATGTAAAATCAAGACATACACTCTTAAAATGACCTTCAAAACAAACAATGGCCGTAAGATGTCATACAGCACAAACAGGTTATGAAAATAAAATCAAAACGCACTTTTAAGGAAAAGTCAACGGAAAAAACGTTGAGGAGATGACATACTGTGATGCTCCGGCGGTATCGCGTTCCCACTGAGCCCTGCATCGGGTGAGGCATCGGCCAATCACTCCACTGTCGAGGCAACCAATCACAGTTGAGCTCAAGTTACTGGCTGGATGAGCTGTCACCCATGACATCCACAACCATATGGCACATGATCTTTCACCGTTCATAGACCGGACTACGAAAACAGTCGATGTGCCCGTGAATCTAAAACTTTCTTTTTCCAATTTAGCAGTGCTAATTTTAGCGTGACAACTTATCGCATTTGTCAATGAATTGATAACACAAAAAGAGTGACGACACTTTCCAGATTGATAAGTGAATTTTTATCTGAGAGCATTGTTTTTTAAATTTTGTTAGTAAATCAGTATTTTGATGCTAAAAACAAGATTTAAAAAATCTGAACTGCGACGAATGAAGAAAATACATCCAAATTTACCACCGTTGACAGGGAACTGCTAAGATTTGGCCAAAAAATGACCTATCAGTCGGAAAATAGCGAATTATGGACGAAAATCAGTAAAATAATTAGTGAAATTGGGAACGTAAATACCAGGTTATCCATTCCTAATAATTCTTGAATGAAGTGCAGCCATCCTTAACAGCATACTTTAAGCCAGGATCATTCTGAAGGTCGGGGTGCCGAATTTACTAAATAAGAACACTCATATTTTAAGCACCTTTGCAAGTAAAAGCTCAAAATTAGTTTTATAAATAGTGCCACATGGATGTAGTTTCCAACTGCATGCAATTACCATGGGGTAAAGATATGCAGCTCATGCTCCGCCCACTTGGACTTTAAATTGATATATCCGGATAAATGACTTTTCGAGACAAAAAGTGCTCTATAGTGTATAAAATTCATTTTATGAATCCAGGGCGGTTCTGAGCTCCACAGACTCCTGAGACACCGTCTCATCAAGCATTAATGGCCTGCAATTTTTGTTTTCAACTGGCATTCATAACTTAAAACAATCGCTCTGATGAATCTGAGACTCGCCCTACGGTAGACATGATGGCTTGGCATTCGAAATGAGTATCCCTTCAAACGCGGGATCCTTCGTCCTCTTGGTTAAAGAGATCTCCTCTGCTTGATTAATTGCAGTTTTTAATGTATACCTTTTTATCCTCCCAATAGATCCGTGACGTCGAAAGCATCCAAAACATTGCTAAAAAGACACTCCACAAATACAGGGGAGCTAGGGCGGAATCGTTTCAGGTGGCATTTTCTAGTGACGTTAACTCACGCTTTGCTAGAATAAAAAAGCTATTTTTTGGACCAGGTATGCAGATTTATGGGTTCCAGGTTGCAGCCTTTTTAATCTCTTGAAAAGGTTATGAGACTGGTGATTTAAAGAAATAATCCAAAAGATTAGCCGATTCTGTTCAAACTACCCAACGATTTTGATGTTCAACAGGTTCGTTTTCCGCGGCAGCGATGTGATCTTCCCCATTTCCCTACCCATGCCTGGCATTTCCACCGATTCCAACAAGTCATTTCTTAACAATGGTGATTGAGTAGATGGTGGTAATTTTTCCCCCGTTTTTTAAAAGTTTTTAAAATATCAGAATAATAGAGACAGTTAGTATTTTAGCTCTGAGACCCTTGTAGCCGACAAAATTTTAACTTAAATTAGAAACTGATAGCAAAGCACAATTGTGAAGTCATGGTGTTCCTTTAGAGCAATATTCTACGGAGTAAACAAACTTATTGCCCTCCTGATCTCAGACCCAAAAACACGCAGGAGCTTCTGCATCCCCTCAAGATGCTCAGTGGTTCCAAAAAGTGGCCCACAAATATAGACAAAAAACCGTCTCGACCCGACGAAATGTATGCATCATTAGAGCTATTATAAAAATCCCACCGGATTATAACTTCCGGATTGTGTTTGTAATGGCCGGCTGTGCGAAGGAAGAGTCGATCATATACGTATTCCTCATTACTGATGTTAACTCCCTTCCGTTGACTCCCCGTCTTCATTTATGGGCTCGGAAACAGTGGTTGCTTTAAGTTGTTGCAATAAAATAGTTTGAGGTAAATTTACAACATGGTTGTGGTAAAACGTGATACTTTTAACAGGTTTTTGTTCAAACGCCATTGGTGTTGCGCAAATACGCGGAGGTTTCACAGGAAAAACGAACCAAAGACTCAGGAGAGGTGACACGTTAAACAGAATTAGTGTCTTGCAAAGGCAACTTTCTTAACTATGTGATCACTTTATAATTCTTTTTGAATTTATGGTGATTCTATTTTTAATGAGGTGATTGAAAAGAGTAGAACACAACTGGGCGTGGAAGATGCCCCCGTCACTTATCAGGGAAGAGTTGACGTATGACGAGGAGGACTGTCATCGCGACATTACCTGGAGCGTCAGTCACACAAAACTTAGTTCTTTCAGTTTACCTTTGAGTCCACAAACTAGTAGCTAGCACTATTGAAATGTCAACAACAACTTCAATATTTTAGGGTGAATCTTGACGGCATTTAGGAGCAGGTAAAATGTTTCAAACGTGCTTATAATACAAAAAAAACTCCTAGCATACTAAACGTTCACTCAGTCACCACTTACAGTTGGGCGAAATCAAGTGAGTTTGACAAAATGGGCTCGAAATTGCTCAAGGAATGGATACATATTTCATGTTTTATTGACAATTTTGAGTACTTTGCTTGGCGGCATTTTTGAATTGTCAACTACTGCCTGCCTTTATAAGCATCATTGCCCTTGAGAGCTTGTAAGTTTTGTCTCAGCGTGAAAGGGCCTTCAGTTCCACGCTCCGAGTCTGCGACAGCAGCAGTTAACTGCCATGAGGTACAGATGGTTTGGGAAGAAAGTGGTTGTACTAAAGTGTCAATGATTCAGGGGCATGACCAATGGTGCTGCGTGAAATGGTCGTCACGCCAACCTGGCATTAGGGCTTCTAGGCGAGCCATATCGTGCTCCATTTACCAATGTCATGATCACGACACTAACTTTTTCTCTCAACAATTAGTTAGACAAATAGTTGTGCAATATAAGTAAGGTTTTCGTTCATCATTTTGTTCCTAGCCCACTCTGTAAGACGTGCATGGGGTGGGTCGGGAATAATTGGGGATGATACAAGGTAATTCCATTACTATTGTTATTCGGACTGAACTTATTTCTTTAAACGACATTCAGTGGGCGATTTGTGCACGTAGTGAACCCACATCTCATTCGAGGTGTACTTCTTCCTCATCGTGCATCTGCAATGACAATGTTGCAAAAATTGCAGCAGGAATTTTATCACTCTTCCTCCCGACACGTTTGGAATACAATTTCAATGAATCGTCTTAGTTTCATCAACAGAGCCTCCTCTTTTGTTTCCGTTTTTGAGCGGGCGGTAAGGTCAGCAAGAGGTGGAAGACTTAACAGGGAATAAAGAGGGAAATTTTAACGAAACAATGGGGGAAACAGTAATCCGAATAAGCAGAAATAGATTATAACTTACTGTTCAAATAATTTCATCTCATTGTAAAATAATGGCCATTATGGCAACTTTGTTGTTGTTTTCTTGTAAAAGGAAAGCGGAGTTATGGGTGTAGGCAGAACTAAGTGTAATAGCCAAACCTAGTCTAAATGGCTTATTTTAATCCCATAGCCAGACAGGCTGTTAAGTTTGTTGATTTCGTAGCACTGACAGAATGCGGTTCGACGTAGACACTTACGTTCTGGTGAGTGACCATAGTTTAGTTTAATGGTTATTTAAGTATATCTTTCTAGAGATTTTAGCATTTCAAATGCTGATTGATAGTGGGCTTTAGTAGTGTACGAAAAGGGAATTTTTCAGGGGATCCAGAGTGAGTTAGAGTTTGTGTAAATAAACACTTCCTCAAATATACTCTGGTCCAGGGATGAGCTAATCGTCGTTAATTTGGGGATGAAATGGCAAATCCTATGCAAGAGCAGAGTTAACCTCTAAGATTTTGTGAGGCTTTGGATTTTGGCACCCAAGAACGAAGTAGCTAAAAGCTCAAAAAATCACGATCGCTACCATGAACAACCAGCAACTGAAATTATTCGCTTAACACCGTGAGCTTTATTAACATGCTTCAAGAACCGGAAGAGTTATTTTCATGGCACCACTCTTCAGATTGGCCATGATCATCACAGCAAAATTTAGTGAAAAATCAACTATTTAGAAATTGAATCACTCTTCCCGTAGACCTTCTGACTGTTCTTTCAGGGTGTCGTAATTAGCTACATTTGAAGTTTTTTTCTTTATCTTAAAATTTTGCAGTGGGTCCGAGCAGATGGGTTCCGCCCGTGAAGAAAACCAACCAATTTAGAACTCCAAAGTAGTTCCAGAACTTGAAGATTTAAGTGCGACTAATGGCAAAAGTTAAGTGTCCCAGTGGGAAGGAATGCATTCTGGTATTTTTAACAGGCTTCTCCAGGTGTCATTTGTGTTTTTAAGTGTACAACTAAACATTCTCAATAAATTAGGAGGGTTGATCTTTTAAGTTCGCTGGTGGGATTTTCGATTCTTTTTTACATCAGGGGCCCTGTTCCACACTGGTTTCTCCCCTTTTACTTTGAGGTCACAAATCTTATCCTTAAGCACCTCGATAGAAAGGATAATTATACAAGCAATTCTATTGATGCTAGGGTACTTTCCAAATGCGATTCCAAATAATCTTCCCTTTTTAATCGACTAAAGCTTCATCTTCTTGTTCGCCATTTTGAGTGAAAATGTTAGTCTAGGTAAGGAGAGGTCTATGAAGGTCTCTAAAACTATTTAATAGACTAAGATAATAGAGGACAAAATAGAGAAGATTCTAATTACTTTCAGAAAACCAGTGACTCAAAATTCTGTGCTCAACTGAAATGCTCGTTGACTTTCTTTTGATAGTAAAACATGATCATGTTGGGTGAAAGCCAAAGTAAGCATAAGGACTGGGGAAATGGAGGGTTCTCTAGAAGCATGAGGAGATTGTGGAATTAAGAAAGAAATATATTTTGAGCACACAGAAGAGCTAAACGATTGGAAGCTCGACCGCCACCAATACAGACATGGATTAGTAGTATGCCAGACGCATGTAGGCTACCGTGCTGAAGAACTTTGTCACAATTACGATCCCTCAGGTGCAGACACCTATTGGCAATTCCGAATGATTGCCAGCCATTTCTTTGATGAGTGAAGGGTAAAGTGGCGAGGACTCCCCAGCAGTCATGAACAAGTGCAGGCGGGTGCGAAGTGGACGTATCAAGCTAGGAGCTCTGTGATTGGTTGGTGAGGAAAGTGCCCATGGCCATATCAGCACACCACACACCCACACAAACCAGCACACAACCTGCCCTGCCGTCGCGGTTGCTGTCTCCGCCCGTCGACATGGTCCTCCTTGGCTTCTTTACTCTCGCTCTATTCACCGGATCTATCAACTCCTCGAGTATGTTGATGACTGCATTATCAGTCGATGTGTCATCTGCGGTTGATTGGGCACGTTTATAGACTTTCGTAGCTCGAAGTCAGAAGTTACTTTTATATCTCCCATTAAACGATTAATTTTTCCACTAAAAAAACTATTTTCAATAAGAGCATTAACATTTAAAAATATATTTTTTCCGTTGTTTTATAGAAATTACGACGTAATGTTCCAAAATAAGTGAATTAAAGCTTAGCTAAATGGCTTTTTCAAATCCAGTTTGGAGCCATGTCTGTCCAGACTTGGCCACTAGTGTTTGGTTTTTTTAAAGATGAGTACATTAATAGGGCAACTTTAAATGCAAAATAGGTTGCCTATTCCGATGACGGGAAACCAAACACAGAAATGCGCCTTTTTTGTTTTTGAAGTAAAGGATTATAAGCTGTTTTTGAAAAAAAACACCCCGGCGTCAGAGAAAAAATATAATTCGTTACCTGTTGTGCTGCGACATAGTGTCCGAATTTGATTGGTGCACCAAATGGAAATAGACAACATGATAATGCGGCCAACGGTCACAATTTCACTCAATAAAATATAGCTCTTCTCATCCTGCCTAGAATGGGAAAGACCTAAAACTGCTATAAATGGATTTCTATTGCGCTTGCCAGCTGGGTCTCGGGGGAGAGCAACCGCAAAAGCCTATGTAAAGTGTTATATCTATGGGTATGCTGCTTAGAGACTACAAAATGTAATTCCCTCCCGAATAAGTTCATCCTACGTCTATTTGATTGCTCTAAAATAATCCATCTGTTTGTGGCTTACAGCTCAGTTATAAGGGGAAAGAGGCTATGTTGACGGCAATGCTTTCGAGAATATATATTTCGAGTGGCGAATGTGTTTTAAGCGCTGATATGTGTCAGGCATTACGCAACTATCAACTCGGATGACACCTATAAGGGAATGCCCATTTTAAAGTGCGGAACATGAACAAAATACAGGAGCGGCAGTGCTAAATGAGCAAAATTTTTCCCCCAAAATGAAATTTTAGCATGTCTGCCTGCAGGGAAACCTCATAACTGATCACGAGACAACTAATTTTAGGCGATATAAAAAATGATTTTTTTGCTCTATTTTTGATTTGAAAAAAATAAACACCAATTTTTCATTAATTAAACGTCTATCAAAAGGAATTTGTAGGGTTAAATGATGAAATATTTAAAAGATGGCGGGAATTTCATCTCAATATAAACAGTGTTAGGTAACTTGGACTACTTATGCGCTCATGCGTTTTTGAGAGCTCCAAGCAGGCCTTATCAGATTGTTGTTTTATGAGATTTGCCTTGTTCCGACACTTAACTTGTAAACTGGGTACCTTTATGCATTGCTTAGGCTTCCACCTGCCTGCGACATTTGTCGTAACTTTGAATTTGCTCCTCCATGCCGCACACTATTCCAGCAGCCGCTTGAATATTTGGAAGGCCTTTTTTACCAAACCAAACGCCTTACCTATTCAGCGCCCTGCCAGTGGAAGCCAACCAATACACATCACTGGCAATGGCATTTTAAGTCGAGCGAATACCCATTCAACATCAACTGTTTAGGTGCTCACTGTGATGGGCGTTGATGGCGAGTTGCAAATCACTGGGTGAACAAACGAAGGATTTAACATTAAGTTGGTTTTTTAGGATATAATTATGTAGATTCGTTGCCCAGTAGGCCATATCGTATTTACTATTGCTGCTCCACATCTACCACTTAAGTGGACTTTTTCAAATAAATTTTTACAAAAAGTGCGAATGCATTTTCTGTGGATAAGCTTAAAACGAGTCAGTTGATAGACGAGGTTCTCTCCACAGGCTCTAGTAGTCTGCGGCATGATGTACACCGCATAGTAGTTTTATCTACGGCTCATATCCCAAAGCGTCTGAGTAATACTTTGGCAGTTTGTTGTTTGCTTTTGCGGGCACTTGAGGCTACGCCTTTGTACCTTTGTCAGGTCGTACAGCCTCTAGGCAGCCCAACCCTTCTGGAAGTCTCGAAGCGCTACAGTCAAAGTCAGTACTAATCATTTCATCTATCACCTTAATTTCTACACTTGTTGTTAATGACTTTACTAATTCCAAGTTTTACAAAAAGAATTGCATCTGTTAAACTCATAACAAGCATGCTAATATGATAAATGTAGTGGTAATAAAGTAGGTGCGGGAAAATCATTACCTTTATTTCTTCCTATGCAAACTTTGATGCCAGCAAATTGAGGTAACTAAATTCTTTTCGTGAATCTGCGCTATCTCCAATTTCTGAAAAAGAAGGACAAATGGCTGCTTTTAATTAGTTATACGCTCGGGTTTTTTAAACATCTCCTAAAACTCAAAAAATGGCATAAATGCTTGCCGATGACGTATGAAGTCGTAAAATAAAACCCGGCTCTAATAATAATTGCATATTAGCATGTCCAAAGGGTATAAACCGTTTGTATCGATCTTCAATAAACCACAGCGAATCGATATCGATCGGTCACAGTTGAGCTGTGCTTGCCGGTACTTTCGCTCGCCAGAAAGTGCGTCGCGCAACGCTGAGGCTGTACTGGCGAACAATTGCCCTCGACACATTTCAGTCAGCGTTCATTCTCACAAAGTCAGATATTCTGCTTTTAAAAACAATTTTAAATAACATTTCTGCATTTTGAGGAATTGCTTTTCATGTGCGAAATAGAAGTAGGTTGATTGTAAGCAGTCTTCAAAGGTTACACAAATCAAAGAAGGATATATAACGGTTATTGATGTAGCTACCAGCTCTAAATTTAGATTTACATGGATACATCTTGCCATTTTACGCAACCGTTTGCGAAAATATTCATTATTTAGCATAAATATCTTAGCAGCCTATCAGACGAATAAATTACTTTGGCGATGAAAATGGGTTCTGCATACACCTTCATTATCGAAGGGCTGACTATGATGCAAACATGTATCCATGCTGAGAAAGTGCATTGGTAGTAAACGTGGCGTGATCGTGTTTCATGAGATCATTTTCCGAAAAGCATAAGCTAAGCTTATTTTTTTATTCAGACTGAGATAAAATCTGACAGCAAGTACTAGTCTATAACAAACGAGAACATTTAAGACATGGCGGACAATAAGGTGTGCTCTTCTCCTTGTTCCATCCACTGTCTGGCCTTCACTGCTCTATCTCTAACAGCGAACTCTTAAGCGACCTTCGCAAAATAAATAATCTAATGTCACCTATCAAAAGTACAAATAAACAATGCTCATTTATGACACGATTTTTGTTTCCTAACGCCACAGGAGTTCAATTGCTGAGTTTGAAGAATGCCAGGGCCTACGCCAATTCCGTGGCGGAGGACAGTTTACCAACCTATGCCATCGACGAGGAGGAGGGCGTAAACCTACCGACCTGCTTTCACTCTAAGATGGGCCACTTCGACCCTGACGGCTTCAGTTGGCTCGTCATCGATCTCGGCGTCGTTACGCAGAACATCACGGAGATCTACCTCGTCCACAACTCCAACACCGCAGGTACCATTTTCTAAAAAATCCTCCTTTGGTAGTCCGTTTTTCTTACCTCTCTAGACTACCTCCAATCGAACATTAGTCCATAATTGTGAAGTTGTAAAAGCGAGAAAAAATGTCACCGTCGTAATGGGTCGAAGAAATCCCACTGTTTCCTGTGGACCAGTCTATGTGAATTTAATTAAAGCAGTAAGCAACAAAAGCATTGCGTGCATGAAAAAAAACTTACATTAATGCCGTTTCTTGTAAACAAGATACCCGCTTATTAGCAGCAAGTACTCAGGAAGGGCTTCGAGAACAGTGCGTTGGTGACGGTCCTGACCGTGGTGGCTTCTAACCCACTACCAAAGCATCCTATCAAGCAAACATTCAACTAAAACGTAAAACTCCTGAACACAGATGTCTTGTCTGCTCATAGCTCATCGTGAACTTGCATGGGTGACGAATCTTTCTGTGAAAACAAAGAACCTAATCATTCACACAAAACTCTCCTCATGTGGAACACTAGGAAAGGTAAGTTATCTTAGGATAGCTCGTGTGTATAGACAAATAGTTGCGTCGAAGATATGCAGAGCTTGTTTAAACGCTGCAATTCGTGCACATACACAAAATTGGGGAAACTGTGAGAAAAAAGCGCTATTCCCTTGCTTTAAACCTCTTCTTTTATTTTCCAATTCAAAAGCCTCGGTTCCACTTTATGCTATAGGGCAAAATCATGGTTCTTTCACAAATTCATTTCATGTAACACTTTAGGCTATCTATAATTACAAAAATACATTGTAATCGAGGGATTTTTAGTCATTTTTGCGGCACAGTTGAGGAATAGTCCGGCTAGAACAACGCCACTCACCTCCTCAGAGAATTCAATCCCTGTACAGTCCGATGCATTAAGTGTCAAATTACGTCCACTTCTTGACTCCACTTTTTTGTAATTCATTTCCTAAAAATGTCAGCTACAGCAATTTGTTTCATAAAAGGAAAGAGCACATAAAAATTAGTGCCTTACGAAGCAAGGAAGCATCGAAGATTGCGTCTCTAAGTTCCCGCCTCGGGTGCATGGCTAAAGGGCTTTACGTCGCCTCAGCATCGTTATGTGGTAATGGATTGAAGTAACTATAATAATCATGTGAAAAATTGCCTTAGGTTTTTTGGACCTTGTTTAAAAGTAGACTTGTAATTTGACAATAAATTCACCATAAGTTAAATTGGAATGATGCAAGTACCGTGACTATCGAAAAGTTTAAACAGGCTGGACTGAATCGTCGGCAGATTTTGGAAGCAGCTAAAAGGCGAATTTTGGGGTTGAGCTCACCGAGTTGTTCATTGAGCAGGGCTCATTTTATCAGCTTCTCCTAATACCACCTTATTGCACTAATTATATGGCACTTCAAGGAGACAACTCGACGCTTCAATACTGAGTGACTTGATGGTTAAATTATATATCGAAACAACCCCCATAAATAAGTCCAAAATCTTAATGTATTTTGTTGTAATGTAAGACACCTTTGCAGAAATTCGAATGCAGTATTTACTGTTCATATATTTTGGTACTCTATATTTAAAGAAAGGGCAAAAATGGGTTTCCCCTTTTCTGTCAGACTTGTCGGTTGAAAGCACCACCCTAGTTTAAACCAGCACCAAAAGGCACTAGAGTCATCTCCAAGGTCCCTGCTTTATCCTGATATCATTGGTATGCCACTTAAAACCTTCAAAAATGCATAGCTGACAGTTCCGTACAAGTGCTGCGTGAAATAAATGTCGACTATTGCGTGACCAAAGGACATGCTTTAGCCACTAAAAGCCTTTACTGTTCAATTAATCACTATTCATAAAACAAAATTTTGCATATTGCATTTGGCCTTTGAAGAGGTGCATTATTCCAAGTTTTGTAAATACATGACGTGCTGTACAAGTTTTATTACCGGTTCCATCGTGGAGACTACGCGCCCAGACAGCTCGAGTCATTAATTTGGGTGGTTGGTATCAAAACCCCTAATAAATAGATATTGTGTCCACCCTTTGGGATAGAAATTAGACTTGCAAATAAACCTTAAATGAGTTTACTGTTTGTCTCAAGATAGGCCAAAATTTATAATCGCTTTAGTAAGCCCCTAACGCTTTGCATGCTGAATGGACGGCTGGAAGATTTGGCGTCCTAGCTCTTCCTATTGTAAGGCTTTATCAAAGTACGTTAGGGCATTGTTGTGCCGGTTGCCGATTGACGTGTCCACAGCGCCATGAGCTCTGCGAGTCCCGCCTACTACAATGTCGATGTAGAGGGTGACGTATTTGGATATTTGACTTCGCAGAAACAAATGACAACCTCGTTAAACGGTTTTTTGCTTGAATAAAAAGAGCTGACCGAACTCTACAGCCAACCTTATTGAATAGATTTTTCTTCTGTCAGTTAAGATGGTGTTTAAAAATTGCTATCAAAACTAAGGCAAACGCAAATTAGTATCCGCTTAAGAGGGAGGTTGAAGATATTAGTCAGGGACGAATGGCTAAGCCCGGGACAAAAGCTCGATTAAATTAATGACACAAATAAAATGAAAGAGCGGCTGAGTTGGTGAAACGACTGAATGAATGAGCTAGGAGTTGTTAAATAACTGAGTGGGTAAATGAAGGAAGGAATAAGCTAGTGGCTTTATGGTCTTTGAGGAGGTAGGTGCACTAGAATTAAAGATAAGAAATAAGTAAGGGATTATTGGAGTAAATAGGTAAAGGAGTGATTAATTAGACCGACGGTTGATTTAGTGACTGATAATTGCTTTCTTAATCGAATGGCCAATTTTGATGGCTCAAAATTACGGCTTTTTCAGACGTCTCTGACCTCGAAGTATTCGTGACGACGTACATGCACAGCGTGACGCACTACGGCGGTGGGGTGAAGGTTACGGCAGGACTGCCATGGGACGCCTATTCACTGTGCAATACCGCCACCTCCGATCTCCACAGCGTCAACAGCGCAACCGTCCACTGCGCTACTCCTCTCCACGGCCGGTGGCTCCTGTTGCGTCGCCAGCAACAGCCCCTTCAACTCTGTCTGCTTGCCATCTATGTCCGAAAAAGTACGTCTCTCAGAGTCTCCTTGTTGTACATGAACTACTCCTGAAGATGGTAATAGGAGTATAAAGGTATATGCACGATTTTTTGGCAGCACAAAAGGACAGATAGCTGAATGCTTAAAATATGCTTACACGTCCGTTGTTTGATGAGATAATTCCTGCTCCACTGAGCATAAGTAAAACGGAAATCCATTAAATGGAATTTTTATCGTGAGGTTTCGCCACTTTGTTAAGGTATTCACTACTAAGTTCTGCACTAGAGGAAGATCAGCCGTCACAGCCTAGAAATCTTCTTGCTGTAACATAATATTACGTTTGTTTTTCTTTTCCAGTTACTCTATTGTAACAAATGCTGTCATATGTGATGTGCGCTATTAGATAAGAAAACTGGAAGTCCTCAATATATGAAGCTAGCATCAACATTTACTTAGAGGTAGGCTTACGACCGAAAAAATCTATTTAAAATTGAATGACCTGCCATAAATAGAGATTAAATTCATTAATTAGATTAGTTCCTTATTTTTTATGGAAAACAAGAAAATCCGGTGTTAAGCAAGGAATTTGACTACCAAAAGGCTTTCAAATAGGGCTTGAGAAGGAGAGTTGTGAATGTTATGTGTCAGTTTTAAAGCGCCATAATGAAGCCCCGATAATGATATCCCACGTAAACAGGGCCTATGTGCATAATTTTAAGTTTCTTGTTAAGTACGCCACCGAATGGCCTTTTTGTGCTTTCACAATGCCGTTCGACTCATGCCTCTCGAAGCACCATCCTCCCTTTGAAAAGAATAGCATTACATTGACATCCTAATCACTTTTGCATGAGTTGGGCTCTCGGATTGATTTACTAATTCAGTGTATGATGAAAAGGAATCGTACTTTGGTTTGACTTACCTCTGTAGAGGGCAAGAGTGATTCTTGAAAAAAATGGTATGTTCCTTAGTTTGACTGAATCGGATATACGGAAATCATTGAGCCACATGCTATGTACATGAAAGGTCTTATACCTTTTAATTAATTAATCATTTTTGTCACATTTTGAAGGGAAATTCAAATAAGTGTCGTCTCAATGATGACGAGTGATAAAATCAGCGCCACCTGTCAGTAAGTCTCAAAATAGGTCATTACCATGACTCGAAGGTTGGGGAAGATTTAACAAAGTGACTATTTCAAAAGATGAAGTTCAATTTTTGGGATCGACAAGTAGGTTCATTTGATGATTTTGGCACCAATAACCATGCAATTTTCTCAAATTAGATCAGTATAAAAGAGGAGTTACGAGTAGGTAAGTGTTGAAGAAAAGCAGTTTTCAAATGAAGAGCTCTTAAAGTGGCGTGATAAAAGAAGGTCCTTATTCCAAAAGATCAACCTCGTTCCCACATGCACCAGATCAAAAAGGTCCTAAAGCGTCGGCTCTTCTGGGCGAATGAGTTCGGAGTCAGCTTTCGAACCACAATAATCTACACTACAAATTTTGACAATGGGCAATAGCTTGAAAACTCCAAAATTAATAAGTGAGAAGGACATGGAAGAGAAGTCCCTGTTTCGCAGGGCTCGTTATCTATTCATGCATATTCTAGGCAGGAATACTTTTCCATACAATTTCCTTTCTGTATGGTTGGCTGCTTCAGGTTATAAATCTTATACCATAAAAATGGTGGCAGCTAAGAGCAGGTTTTTGGAGACACTTGAATTGCTCCTGAATATCTTTCAGGGTATTTAAAATGATAAACAGCTGTATTACCGACGTGCGGAGGGGCTGATGCAAAATCAGCATAGATGGCATGAGTAGGACCCCCGGTACCTTTGGTGAGGCCGAATCGCAAAAGAGGAAAGGCCTATATAGTCAACCAAACACTTAAATCATATATTCTTGCATCGCAGTTAAAAATAGAGAAATCCCATTTAGGGTACCTCAAACTTGATGATTACAAAAGCGGGGTGAAGAAGAGAGGGCATAGTTTCCCAAAATCTAGCGTCTACTTCTTGTCGAATCATATGAATTCATATTCTAAAAACGCTTTTCACGTTCTGACAAAGTGGACTTGACGTCATAATTTGGATCCAACTGCTTTTCAAAAAGTAAAAGGGCTGTATCATAACTTGAAAAAAACTGGTCCAGCTGGAAAAACATGATGGTAGTAAATAGGTACTATCCTGGCGACCGTGGAAATAAGCCATCAGTTTGTGTAAATCAAAACGAAGGATATGGGCAAGACGGTTATCTTTCACGAAACTCATTATAACTCCTGCGGATTTTTATAGATGAGTTACTTTGGATGGCGCTGTTGACCAAATTGATTCCTACAGTTGAGCTTGGCGAGTGCAAGGCAAAGTCATACTTGAAAGAAATAAAGAGGCTGCGAGTCACCAGGTGGCTTAATTATAGGCGTGCAGAAGAACTGAGAGGGTCCTGTGTCAATGGAAATGACTGGGTAATTATGCACGACTCAGGTGTGACCACGTCCTAAAATACTCTCCCCTGTGAATTAGTGAATTGGACTTACTCTTTTACTGGCATATATCACCCACCAAAAGACAGTGTCGTGGTGCCATTATGAAATTAGCGTATATAAGATGGAGTGATTAAAATAAGCTATCATTATCTCGTTTAGCAGAACATAGGGACTTAAAAATTTATATTTTCAATTTGAGATATAATGGATGGAAGACGCCCTACATAAAAAGTGCAGCAAAAAACCGTGAGATTGGATTCTAAGCCATAAAATTCACGATCAGTAAGGCTAAAACACTGAAACTAAAGGATCAACATCAATGAGGTGAAAGAGGATGGCTACAAAAGCGACGGTTAAAATGAAACATGGACTACAGGTGCCTCTGCCTATGATCACAAAAAATGAAATATTGTTTTTCCAACTAAGGCCGACATGTCCAATCTGTCACACTTACGAAAAGTAAGGTTTCTAAAATATCTAATACGAAATAAAGTGCATTACCCTCAAGAGCAAGGTGAAGGAGATGTAAATGGCCACTATTGTGATAAAAGACAGGTACAGGAAAAGTCAAAATAAATGATTGAGGAAGTAGGCGCTAAAAATGATGACCCTATTTCCTAGAGCATGGCAACGATTTCTAACGTCCTGCAGACGTGGTAATGTCATTATGTACTATTTTTTGTTATGTTTGAATATGTTTGCCACTACCTTTTGGCGAAGTTCGCTAAGGAAATACAAGAAATTTGAGACCGTTTTACGAGAGTAAGCGCTGCTACCAGCGGATCTTTAAACAAAGAGCCTCAATTTGAAGAAAGGTAATGGAAGTTTTCTTGAAAAAAATTCAAAAAAATAAGGAAAGTACTAATGAAAAGGTCCATCTTTGTTTGATTTGTGCTGTCAGCTATGTCTGCTAGAAAAAGTTTACTAAGCAGTTCTCACATGCAGAAGAATAAATGTCTAATTTACAACAAAGGGCCAACAAAAGAAGACCCAGGTCTGTAATTTTTACTGTGAATTGCTTCTTCTCCTCAGACGAGAATCGCTGTTTCAAGCCCGTGGACCCTATCTTGAATTTCTACGCTAGGGCAAATGAATTCCGACTAGAGCGTCATATCTCCCTGGAGCAGTGTCGCGAATCGTGTGCTGGGACACCGAGCTGTCAGGGCCTCGCCTTCTCAAAACGGTCCCAACGACATTCCACCGGCCTATGTCGCCTCTTCCGCGAATCTACTACCACTGACGTCAACGATGACGTCGAAAACACCTCCCAGCTCATCAAGTGCGAGGAGGACTGTCAGCTTGAACAAAATGAATGTAATCTTGGTGGGCACTTGCGCATTTAATGCTCCACTTTCTACCAGCTACCTTTTTCTGATCCTAAGTGCTTAATTCCAGTGAAAAAGTGTCGGTCAGTTCTATGGCAATTTACAAAATACCAGTAAAAGTAAAGAAAGTAGGCTAAATACACACTTGCCTAAAATAGAGCAGGCAAAATAAAAATTATTGACATCGGCTCATAAAAGTGCAACAGGCAATTGAAAAGTGTTTTCAATGCTAAGCTGCAGTCAAATGCAACATTTTCGGATTTAATAGCGATGGGTAATCACGATTACTCTTGATTTAGTGGGAGGAAACCATGAACAAGTTTTTGGAAAAGAAATTCGTTGATCAATTGGAAGTATCGACATCGAATGAAATGTATTCAAGGTCTCGAATTTCCTAGGTAACGTATAAAACTGACTGATCTGTGTCCTCACTTTTCCTCCCAAAAGCCTCCAAAATGTCCTAATGCCCTCAAATGAGACTGCAAATTAGCGGAAAGGCCGGGTTTTCCATGAATAGTTTCCGCAGATTTCATTTCGTTACGGTTCCCGGCAAAAAACTTTGCGGTTAATTTAAAAAAAACAGCAGCATTACTCCTTCACCTTTATTACTTCCAGCTCATTACCTTTCCAGTGGATTAGTATAAAAATACTCTCTTTAAGTTATGATATAAGCACTAGATAACATTTTGTAGAGCTGGAAATGTATGCATGCCTTTTGTGATGGCCGTCCCGAATTGAGCAGATGTGTTACTTATAATGAAGAGCGACTATACCGTCATAGAGACCTTTATATGCTTTGTCCTTTACCTTTGTACTTAAATAATTTCTTCTATCTTCTTTCTTTCAATCAAAAAATCAATCTAAAAACATCAACCTATTCGTTACCTATTTATGTGGCCTCTTTTGTCCAAAAATAATGTCCATATGACAGGCGTGTTTTTGGAATTAGTTATATTGTGCGATATAGGAGAAATATCAACGACTTGGGTTACAGTTTTATCCCCTCCCTGATATCCCTTTCTTTAAAGAAGAAACTCCTTAAACTAAATTTTTTGTAATATTAGAGGACTTTTGCGTCCTTGGGTGTTCCATCCTCCCTCCTTCCCATTTAGTGAATGTCCCAAACAACAATTCGGTCACTCTCAAAGCATTAGTGATTTGGAAATCTTTCCTGTATTTACCTTTTCTTTCAAGAACAAGACTTGCAGAAAAGTCTCATTTAGAGTTGGAAATCGGTCTATTAATACAGTTATAACGGAATTCATTAATCGTATTCATCGTCGCACTGCTTCAATGACAGCTGCGTCCTCAGCGTAATGAAGTGATTTATCATTTATGGTCGTAGTCTTTTAATTCAGTAGATATTTCATGCACTACCACGATTTCATAAATACTTTTTTGCTAAGACAGTTGAGTAAAGGTGCGGTGTCATCCCTCACCTCGCAATTTCTGCAAATTGCAACTAAATGATTTTGCTACCGAATCGTAACTCTGTTTCGCATTTTACAAAGATTGATGAAGGCTTGGAAGTAACTGCAGAAGGGTGAACGAGAATTTCAGTGCTGAAGAAATCAATGGAAACAGTAGTAGAGGTGTCATCTGTGTTCTCCATAAAATTATTCAGTTTGTGGCAATGAAGTGCGGCCTTTCGGTTCACAAGACGGTTCTTAATCTTTCCTCCACCCCGGCGCTTAACCCCATTGACGTTTGTAATTTTTAGAAAATTGGAAGAGCATTTAGTGTAAGCAATT